GCTGGCCCGACTTAAGAAGACGCTCTTGCGAGCGTAAAGTTTCTATTTTTCCTCCCTCGTTGAACAAAGTTTCGCCAAAACGGTCTCCCCAAAATAATGCCACGCGAACACGTGCTTTATCGCGGAGCTGCCAATTTCATCATGAGCGTCGCCTCGACTCGGAGTTACGCCGGAGATGCTGAGTCGGCGGTGTTTACGCGCTCGTTATCGCAAGAGCGTAAACTCTTAATTTGTACCCTCCAGCCGCTGGGCGAAGAAACATACACGCGTTCGCACGCACGCACGCGGCGCACGCACACACAAGTATTTTCAGACATTCCGCATCAGCGGAACGTTCTGGCAAAACGCCGCTCCTCTTGAAGCAAATACTTGTCCTTAAAATAAAAATAACTCCCGAGCCAGACAAGAATAATAAAATGAAAAATGCATCCTGTGCCAAAGCTGTTGCCCGTCCACCAGTCCCCAGGCGAGGGAATGCGCCAGCCACAGATGGTGGGGTTCTCTCTCTCTCCTCTGCTGCATCCACGCTCTGGAACTTCCCTATCCCCCAGTCATCCGTGCTGTAGGCAACCTGCCCACTATTAAAGTTCAGGTTCAAAGGCATTCTTCCCGTTTGCCTCTGTCTACGACAGACCGCTTCTTCTCCATAACACAACACTCCGCGCCGCCGTTTCCGCAGAGCGTCGTGCGATGCGGTCGCGTTCACGCGCCGCCTAAGTCCACGTCTCGGTCTAAGTCGGGGGTCTGCAAGTCCCTGCGTGCGACTGCCGGCGTCGTTAAGGGGCCCACAGAGAGAATCCAGCCAAAGGAGTCCACGAGGGCAAACCCGAACTGCACCCCCGTCGCCGCCCTTGTTACCCCACTACTGCCGTTTACGGCTCTACGGCACCGCTGCCGAACTATAATGGGGGTCGCTGAGGCTTTGGTGGCGTCCGTAAGGGGATCCTAGCTCCACTGAGTTCGAGGCTTCGGCGAGTACGCGGTGTGGAGAGCACTCGCGTCTTGGTGTGCGTGGGGCATTCTGCGCCGGCTCTGGCTCCAGATTCATGAGCGCAGCATTCGAGACTCTGCTGCAGATGACTTCAAGGGGAGTGGTGGGAGGAGAGGAGGTGGAGGAGGAGGAGAGCTGATTGAGCCAAAGCGAAGAGGGGCAGGGGAGGCGGAAGGAAACACAGATGGAATCGAGGGCAGTTATGGGAAAGATATTTATGGAGGATGGAGAGGGCAGGCAGTCGAGGGGTGAATGGGCGGGAGTGCGGCCGTGAACGAAGAAGAGGGAAGGAATGTTGAGGGGTGAGGACGCGGAGGGGAGGCAAGAGGGTTTACACCGATAGTCCAGCGAAGTAAAGGCAAATGCTACAGTGCGATACAATGCGGATTCATGTAGCTTCCCGCTGCCAGTTGATGTTAGCCAAGCATCCCAATGGCAGGGCCCTCCTTAAACGAAGTAGTTATTTCAAGTGAGGTCCAATTGGATTCACGGACAGATGGGGAGAGACAGTCACGGGCAGAGGAGAGGACAGTGTTGAGCCTGGACTAGATAAAATAGGCTCAGGTTTGTAAAATTCCCAAACCCGTGGGACCTGAGAATTGGCCAGTGGCCAGCAGTCCAGCGCATGTGTTTGTGCACCCGTCTCTGTGTGAGCCGTATGAATGGTATCGCTTGCTGCTCTCATCTACCGCCTGGTTCCCTCCCGGGACGCTCCCTCATTATTTCCTCATCAAACCAAAACACAGAGCTGTATTTGCACCTATACCGAACGTTGTATCGGCACGTCTTGCTCTCATATTTTATTTTCATTTGCGCGTATTTCGTTTACAGCTGTTTTATTACTCTCGTGTGTTAGTCGTGCTGATAATCCTTGAGGGCCCTGCACTAACTCTCTGCAATATTTTGTGTTTTTGTTGCTGCTGCTGCTGTGCCCACGCACCACGGATCTCCCTTGTGAAATAGGCGGGCAACTGGATAAAATCAACTTCGACTTCACTCAAACGTATCCCTCTGTACGCACAAGCTTTCTCCGGTGCTCTTGGTTTCCTTCCACGAGAAAAGAAAAACACTCTTTTCAAAAAGAATTGACCAAACGTCCAAAATGACTGAGAGTCTTGAGACTCTCGGCGTGGCTTTCCCAGAAAAATAAATGACTTTATTTTTCCCATTGGATGGTTGCCGTGGTGTCATAGTACGCTGGGACCCAGGGCTCGATTTCCCTGCATGTCAGTTGAGGCGATGGGGCAAGTTTTCTTCAATCCACCTCCTCGCCCATCGCTCCCATCGCCCCAGTGAACCCAGCAGTGCACGATGGGTTCACCACGGTCAGTCGATCGACAGCTCGTGCCGGGCGTGGTAAAGTGTGGGATACTTTACACCTCTTGCAAGGTATCTGGCCGGTGTAAAAAAGTAGGCCAAATACCCTCTCGAGGAAGGAAGGGTCTTTCCGCCAGCAGTACCGTGTGACGTGAAATTTCAGGGCCGCACCTGTACCTTATTGCTATTTTTTGTTTGTTTAACAACGACAAAAAAAGGTTTCGAAACCAGTTGGAGAGGGAGGCATTGGAAGGCCGAATGAAAGGGGAGGGGAAAAATATTGATGTTCATCCGACTGAGTGGGGTGATGGATGTGTGATCCGTGGAAGGGGGCCATGTGGTGGGTCAGGGAGGGCTTCAATGATTCATATTCTTAGGTTTTTTTCGGTAAAGTCACGTAGGTAAAAACATTAAAAAGTAAAATAAAATAAAAAATCACGACGTTTCGGAGGCAACACAAGCTTCCGTCTTCAGGTGGTACCGTCACAGCCACGACAGCTGTATCAAGTAAATGAGAGATTGCAGAAGCTACCACTCTGTTTATACAATCTCTCAATCTCTCATTTACTTGATACAGCTGTCGTGGCTGTGACGGTACCACCTGAAGACGGAAGCTTGTGTTGCCTCCGAAACGTCGTGATTTTTTATTTTATTTTACTTTTTAATGTTTTTACCTACGTGACTTTACCGAAAAAAGCCTAAGAATAACAGGGAGGGCTTGCCGGTCAAGCGACTGGGTGCGGGGCTGAGCGTGTCCCTGGTCTCTCATTGCACGATCGTTGCAGAGACGAGCCTCTTGCGCGAGTTGGCGTCGCTGGAAGTGTGGCGGGTTTGCAAGCGACGAAAATAACGGCGGGATTTTCAAGCAATTGCGTACACGTATCATTGTTGGCCCATTGATCGTACGTGACGTCTTTGAAATTAAAGCCCCCGTGGTATAATCCACACGGCAGGAATTCACCTACTTTTTTTTCAACACCCCCCCCCTCCCCCGCATGCAAAAAAACCTGTCCTTGAAACCTGAAACACAATTTAAGCGCATGCCTCATAGAACAAACTAGCGCTGAACCCTTTTATCTTTTTCTAATCGCGGTTCTTCACAGTTGTACTCACTTATTTTGATAAGGGCTTCGAAGTGTGTTTTTTGGAAAGGTTGCGGTGCTTGCTTTGAGAGGTTGTGTCTTGAGTTAATTCTGCACCGCGCGGGGATTGACGCATCACGTGGGTTGAGCATCTTGGGTTCATCGGCAGCGTTCATGCAGCGTGGGCGAGTCGAGTATACCACAGCCCCTTAAAGGAACAATTTCACCATCATCATCATCGTCGTCGTCATCATCTCCCATGATCTATCTACTGCTGGATCAAGGCATCTCCGAGCCATCGCCACATGTCACAATCTCGTGATGTGGTGGCTGCAAGATGAAAGCTGTTTCAATGTTGTCTTCCCGAATATATTCATGAACGGAATCACAGCCTGGCGTTCCTGATGAATCATGATTTGACAGTCGCCGAGGAACCACAGACGAGCTGGAAGGCAGCCAAGTGGTTGAGCCAGCGCTGCCAAAAAATACCGAAACTCTATAGTCCTATACATATTAAGATGTATTCAGCCGATCAATGGGCGTATCTTGGAGCACCCCATACAGAAGCACGGACGTGCGAGAAGGCAACGCTCGATCCCGTACAGAAGGGACAGGCGATATTAGTCCGCACATTGCTGTACCGTCTTCTCTTGGTGAACAAGCGTTCAGCATTAATTCTAGATTTGAAGTTTTCGTGACTGCAAGGATTCATACTCTTTGTTTTTTTCGGTAAAGTCACGTAGGTAAAAAAAATGCAAAAGCAACTAAATTAAATCACGACGTTTCGGAGGCAACACAAGAAATCCGTCTTCAAGCGTCTCGATAATTATCTTTCACTTATTTTTGTTTTTTACCTAACGTGACTTTACCGACAAAACCAAAGAGTACGAGCAAGCGTACAGCACCTCCTCGTCACCACGGGGAAGGCAGCTGAGCGACATGAGAGCAGTGATCCACCTACCCTCGCTGCTGCCTGTACCGTGCTGGGTTACAGGCCACGCGCATAGCCACCGCGGCTGCCCAGCTATGTCACAGATCATTGAACCACGGGGATTGGGGAGGCGATTGGGGTTTAATCGTTATGACCCCTTTATATAAAAAAAAAACAGACTCAGCTCTTACACCATTGGAACCTAATTTGCCAGTAAAAATATACTTGTTTTTTTACCCTTTTATCTGGCAACAAAACTGACACCTTTTTTTACAAGGAGTCATGTTTACATAAACCACAATACCTGCAGTCATAACGCAAACAAAAAAAATAACTCTGATAATATGCGCTGTCCTAAGGCTCTAAGGAAAGCTGTCTCGGGTGTGGACCAATCAACTTCAAGGACAATGCACATTATCAGAGTTGTGTTTTTTGTTTGCGTTATGACTGCAGGTATTGTGGTCTATGTAAACATGACTCCTTGTAAGAAAAGGTGTCAGTTTTGTTGCCAGATAGAAGGGTAAAAAACTAATTATCAGACTCAGCTCATCAACAACGTACACGGGTAACTGCTTGTTGTGATCTCAAACCCCGGCCCGATGAGGCAGCTCCCTGTCGGTGGGTACCGCGCTGTATGACGAGTGCGTGCGTGTGTCCTGTTCCATGTTCTTCTTTTCAGGGACCTCAAGAACAATCTCATCAGCACGATCGAGCCGGGGGCTTTTCTCGGGTTGTCCGAGCTCAAACGGCTGTGAGTACCTGGAGGAGACGATGCAACTCACGCACCGCCGCTTCTTACACTTGTTGGGTCTGTGCCTCTCGCGAGCTCGCGATGATGCGGTCGCAAGCGAGCTGCGTGGATGTTCCAGCTCAGTAATGGATTATTAAAAATCTACCTTTTGAGTATTACCCTCTCGTATGCTTGCTTGGTGGGTTCACTCAGGGAGGGTATACTCCTTTCCTCCCACTGAAGTCAAATTATAATTTAAGGATCCTTCGTGCAGAAAACGTGTCTTGAGATTCAGTAAAAATGCATTGCGTGAACAAAGGGCATTATTATTATTATTTTAAATTTTATTCCAATACCACAAACGTATATCTGCTCTTCTCCCGCGACTCAACTGCCGGATAGCGCACGGCACGACGCTATACACCGCAACCGCTACACACGCCGACACCGATTGGCTCGAGACAAAACAAAAATAACCTTTTTTGCCGGCGATTTCTTGGTGTTTTTTTGTTTTCCTGCAGGGATCTTTCGAACAACAGAATCGGCTGCCTGAGCTCGGAGACGTTTGTGGGACTCGCCAGCCTCACGCGACTGTACGTTGACCCTCGGTCTGCGCGAACACATACCGCTCTTAAAGCGCTTGCCGCAATTCAGGTCGCAACAAGGAGCTCCGTCAGATCCACCCCCCACCCCCCCAAGTCTAGGGCCCCGGGGGGCTTCAATTCAGCCACCGGGTCTCTCCGCATCGCTAGAGGAAAGAAAGCGTGGGGAAAAGGAAAAAAAACGCGAAAAATGTTGGCGTCTGGAAACCACGAAGGCACAAAGCGGGACCTCATTGTCGAGGTCAGCCACTTCGACAGACCCAACAGGACAAAAGTGTTTCCGCGCCCAGCACACCACATCAAGTGTACCTCTCACCTTGAACCGTGGCCACGACGAGTCACGTGCCACCTGTAGGCGAGCAGCGACCCGGAATATATTTCCGAAGCGGGCGAACCACATTCGAGGAATGTAACCAGTAAACAATCATTTATGCTACTAGGGAAGACCCAGTGAACTTTTATGCCTTTTTTTCAGAAGTGCCTCGCCACAAATTATTGCTCAGCGAAGTTTCTTATGTGGAAATGTATCTGCCAAATACTCTGAACGCGTTGTTATTGTCCTTCCCGCGCACCTCAGATTAGCACGTTCGGCTACGTTTGGTGCAAACAAAGTTGAACACACAATACGTTTCGAAATGTGGAGGGAAAAATATGAGGAACCGGAGAAAAAAGCCACATGACCGCTGGCAGAGAGATGAAAACTCTAAAAATGCAGGCGTCAGGGTCGGATCGGACCCACGACCTTTTGTATACTCGGCGAGGTAGTTAACATCTCGCCACCACGGCACCCCATCACGTGGCCATCGGAGAGCCGGGAAATATTCAACCAGATATGATGGCCCTGCAAGGGAGGCACGCACGCAGGCGATGACGCGACGTGCTTTCGGGGACCCACGGCTAGCGGAAGAGGAGGGAGCACCTGGACACAATGCGAGCAGGGTCAGAGTGGCCCCCAACACACAAAGCACGGCAAACTAATTGAATTAGAATAAGTTGATTAAACGATTTACGTGTAACTGTAGATCGGACCCTAAAGGTTGTTTACGAGGAACAACGAGCTTTACCAGCATAGGTGCACGTGGGTTTATCCTCAAGCCGAGCGCCGCTGCTGCTTCTGCTGCTCGTCGTGTATGGTTAGGTTAATGGCGCTAGTTCAGGTGCAGCGCTAGTGTGGATAGAGAGGTCTCACGATGTGACTTCAGAAGTAGTTCTATGACGCCCCCTTCCACGGCTGTTCTTTTGGCAGAGGTCGGTGCGGCTGCTCGCCGCTGCCGAGTTCCGATCGGGAATGCCTCCATCTCGTGAGGCGACGCTGACAGCGATGTAATTATAGAGGAGGTGGAAGCTTAAACTAAGATTAATATTCTTAGGGTTTTTTCGGTAAAGTCACGTAGGTAAAAAAATTAAATTAATAAAAATAGCTGATACAGCTATCGTGCTGTGACGGTTCCACCTGAAGACGGAAGCGTGTGTTGCCTCCGAAACGTCGTGATTTTTATTTTATTTTTTATTTTACTTTTATTAATTTTAATTTTTTACCTACGTGACTTTACCGAAAAAACCTAAGAATATGAATCCTTGCAGTCACGAAAGCTTCAAATCTAGAACTTAAACTAAGAATCAATCACTTTTTTCTATAATGAACAACATGATTTCTTTATAATCAAGTGAGAACCCTTTGGGACGCAAGGTCTTGTTTGCAAGGCAGACTAACGTGGCAATTGTAAATGAGAGATATACATTAAATTAAACCATAACTAAAGACCGCAATAATGCTTAAATATTTCCTATGCGTGATAAATAATGAACAAATACAATGGGTTACAATTCATGATGAATAATCATAAACTCAGGACATTATAATTGCTGTTTTTCTAGCCCTTAGCCCTGAATTTGTTTTATTGTTCACCTTACACCACGAGAATAAAAAAGCCTCGAGTGCTTCCTGCCATTGTGCGATAATAGAATGAAGGTACTGATTTTAAGCGCTTTAAATTTAACTTTCTTTACTTTGTCTCTCTCTCTCTCCCCTGATGAGATGTAGTCTGAATGGCCTTGTTGACCGAGTATTCCTTCCCTCATTCCCGCTGCCGATGTTTCATTTCATGTTGATAACAAACAAAGGAAAGGCCTCTTTGGCATTCATGTGGACAATAACCATTCCACAAATGCCAGCGACGGTGAATGGCGGCCTGCGCGCCTCTCCTGCGTGTCTGAAAGACCCCGCTGCAGAAGTTGTACTTTGTTCTCAACGTTTTAGTTTTAACGGACTGTGTAAAGAATTTCTTTTTTTTACTTTTTTTTTTAAGACGCGGCAGAGGAAAGAAGGAGACGGAGGAGAGGCCGTCCCTTAAAAACAACAAAAAAAATCAACACAAAGCTAGTTTTTAACACCTCTTTTTTTTAATACCAACATTTCATCAAAGCGCATCTCTTGTGAAGAGTGCGGTGAAGCCTTGTCATTGTGGCAAGCTCGGCTTGCCCCTCATTTGTGCCGACCCCGCCGAGGGGCTGCAGCCGGACGGGCGTTCCTCGCGTTCCTCCAGCAGGCGAAGGGAAGGGGGAGGGAAGAAAGAAAGAAAAACAAAAACCCCCCACGACAAAACACGTGGCAGAGGCCGCGGCACGCCCTGCGGTAACCCGGGGCATCGCGAGCCACCCGCGCACGTGGAGTCACACGGTGGCGGTCCGACCACTCTCATCCTTGGTCCACCATAGTTATCACCATCATCATCATGTTCTATCTACCGCTGGATCACTGGATCAAGGCCTATTCTCCCAAGCCATCTGTCTGTCTGTACATGCACCAAAATCGAAGGACGGAGGCTAAAGTATTTTTGGGCATGTGGTAAACCACATTCTCCAGATTAGGAGATGCACCCCAAATCTTTTGCCCAGTGTCGATGATGTTTTACAAATATGGTCACGTATACACACGTACACACGCGTGCATGCTTATAGGATTATACAACAACCCCCACCTCCCCATTTTATGTTTTGGTTTAAAACACAGTGGGGGAAAAGTGGGTCTTATAAACCAGAAAAAACTAACTATGTGAAGGGAAAACCCTGAAGGAGCTATACAACATTACACTGTGTAACAAATAAAAAATTGTCCCTGGCTAGTAAGTGTTTTTTTCTAATTTTTTTATGCCTCAAAAGTATAGAAAATGGCTTATTCCCCACAAACGTTGCTTTTGTGACCAGAACAGTGATATTTTGAAATGTACCTATTTTAAATGAGAAAACGTGTGCATTTGCGTCATTCCTTCGCATAAAGTCCTGATCACAAAAGCAAAGTTTGTGGGTAATAGTAGCCATTTTTTATACTATTTTAGGCATAAGCAATAACAAATAACATTTTCTACCCAGGGACAAAAATCGTGTTACATCGTGAATTATCATTATTACTTCTCACTGAGTCTCAAGACTCTTTTTGCAGGAGGGTCCTGCCAAGCTTTCCCGGTAGGGGGTGGCGACGATGTTTCTGCGTGGAATCCCAATCGAGTAATTGTGCAGCAACATTTTTTCAGCAGTGCAATGTTTGGCCATTACCAGCAACGTTGAATGGGTTTTGCCAGAACGCGATTGGAATTGTTGTTGTGTGCAGTCATTGGTGGTGATCAGGGGGCTGAGCCCATCGACCGATTGTAGTTGGTGACCCGGTGTATTTCACCAGGTGGCTTGACCCCAGTTTGAAACTCAGAATGTCAGCGTGCCAACACGGCACTGTATTCTGAGCCATACCGGGCAACTGCGGTTGTAATTGTTCTTTGGTTTATTCGGTAAAGTCACGTAAATAAAAAAATTAAATTAATAAAAGTAAAATAAAAGTAAAATAAAAATCACGACGTTTCGGAGGCAACACAAGCTTCCGTCTTCAGGTGGAACCGTCACAGCACGTATTGATACAGCTATCGTGCTGTGACGGTTCCACCTGAAGACGGAAGCTTGTGTTGCCTCCGAAACGTCGTGATTTTATTTAATTTTTATTTTACTTGTATTAATTTTTATTTTACAGCAATCGTGCTGTGACGGTTCCACCTGAAGACGGAATCTTGTGTTGCCTCCGAAACGTCGTGATTTTTATTTTACTTTTATTAATTTAAATCTTTATTTTTTTTATCTACGTGACTTTACCTAAAAAAACAAAGAATATGAATCCTTGCAGTCACGAAAGCTTCACATCTAGAATCCGGTTGTAATTGTTTTGTTTCGTGGTCAGTTCGCCACAAATTCAACCGCGCTGACCCCAACACACCACGCCGACGCATTTCGTTCACCGATAATGCGTCTTGTGCTTTCCATTCATCTTTGCATTTTTTTTCCTACTTCTGCAGTGGGTGCACGGTGCCAATTTAATGCCCTTTTATTGTTGGGTTTTTTTTTGCGGCTGTGTGCTTTTTTTATCGCAGGAATCTGTCCGGGAACATTTTTAACACGATCCCCCAAGGGACCCTGGACGTCCTTCAAGGCCTCAAGTTCCTGTGAGTACTTCCCGCTCGCCGCCCTCCGCCGTGACCAACGGGTGCCGTCGTGCGTGCGTGCCCGCGCGACGGCTATTTGCGCACCTGACTTTTATTTTCGTCCTACGATTCTTACACCGATTATAGACCCGCGTCCGGGGGCAGAGCGATGCCTTTTTTCTTTTCCGAAACTCCCAACGAGGGAGAGAAATGCTTCGCTTCGGCAGATTGGCCCGAAAGAGACATCAGAGGCCTCCTTCTCCTCCTGCTGCTCCTGACATCCTGTAGGGGCCTTCCTTATCCTCGCAGAAGCCTGGCTTCTGTTTTGCATCAGTTGTGCAGTTGAGCGAGTTGGCGTGCCCGTGTGTGTCCACTGAATACGCTCTGTGAAAAGGTCAAATTCAAGTCTAAACCAAGCGTGTTCTTTTGTGGTCATTGGTGACCGGGCTGATACCCAATCGAGCTCGCTGCACGTGAGGACCAGAACTGAACCCAGCACTTCTGACTCAATGGCTTTGATGTCACTCATGGTCCTGAACCTCCAAACTACCTGTTAATCATCATAATAATCTTCATCATCCATTGTCTTATCCACTACTGGATGAAAGCCACCCCATGCCATCACCACCGCTCACGTTCCAGTACTGCTTTCCCTATCTCGCTCATACACATGAGTTTATCTCATCGCTCCATCTTACATACCCTTATCTACAGTTAAGAGGCAGCCCCAGTCATTTACAACCGCACGAAACGGAAACCATTGGAAGTCAAAACGTACGCCCAGATAGCAGGCACGGTGGTGCCGAGCGGGGCCCAATCGTCGGCCCGTTTTACCGCTAAGCCTCGCTCTTTGCCACGCCGCACATGTGGCCCGGTATAAAGTCGACTTCCTGGAATTTACTGCTCCGCCTTGCCGCCTCGCAAATGTGCAAAGCGGAGCCAGCGGTGGTGGTACCTTGCGAGAGTATTGCATTTCACCTCCTCTCCGCAGCGCTCGGCAGGAGAACGGCACGAAGAAAAGCTGCGATGTAATTCACTTATTTCTGAACAGGTTTAAGCGGCGTTCTCCCCACGGAATCGTCGTTTGATCAAAATGACCTGGAAAAAAATGACCCCCCCCCCCGCCCGCCCGCCACCCTCCCCCCCCTCCCTCGGTGTAATTCTATAAACACGAGCGAGTGCGGTTACACCGAGGCTGGTTGTGTCGGCGGGCCGGAGGGCGGGCGGGCGGACGGACGGGCACGGCTGGGGGTCGCGTGTTCAGGGGAATCCGACCCCCGGCGACTCCCTCCGAGTCGGTCCGGAGCACCGATCCTGAACGCCGATCTCCCTGGGTAAAAACGGAGCCATGCAGCCACATCGCAGCCGCCCCCCCCCCTACTCACGCTTATTGAAAGCAGATGGATTGGCCCGAGTATGGTTATTTGGATCAGGGCTGGAGTAAAAGATATATATATAAACCCAGTGTCCAGATGAAAACCGCAAAAATCCTTTGGGCAGTGACTTTTCAAATGGCTTTTGCTGGCTTTCACTTTCGTCCCATCCAGCTCTGAAAATTGCACTCTGGCACGCAGTAATTACAACAATACGGACGTGCGTTTCGCACGCGCGCGCGCACAAGCACGTGTGCCGGTACGCCCGTGTGCATGTGCACGAGCAGCTTGTGTGTACGTCGAAGTTCTTTCGCAACGTGCATAGCCATGCAGCCGTGCTAATCGGAGTTGAAGGGGAAGGGCACGACCCAGCGCACGGCTCGGAGACGCTCGGTGCGATCGCCACTGAGCCAGGTTTCACCGATTCAGTGGTTCAGTGCCCTGAGCTGAGCCGCCCATTTTTATTCCATTGTTATTTTTCTCCAGGGAATTTCAAGCCTGTGCCATCTACTGCCTATTATCATAATTATATCAGCTGACAAGGCTCCATTGAGCGTCTCAACTCTGTTACGCGGACGACCACAGCCCAAGACCTCCGGCAGGGGCGGCAGTTACAGGACATTTCAGGTGATTAGATCACCCTGCAAGTGCCCGCGGCACATCAGATCTCAGCAGCTAAGCTGGCTTGAGCCTGCTGAGTAGATTTGACACGGATATTATCGGTGTTTTCGGGAAATCCGAATTCAGTTTCTGGCCACGGATAACATCAGTGGCGAGCGATATATCCGACCTGACCCTGAGCATCCCGGCTTCACCAGTCCACAATGATTCATCAGTCCATCACGACCGGCATGGTGAAATAATCGTGTTTTTAAAAATAAAAATATATATAAATGTATCAACACCCAGTGGCACGTGCAAGAGCAGATCCCTCATTAGCGCTACAAAGGGAGTCGCTCCGACCGGCCCAGCCCCGGCGTCACTCGCCACTCTGGCAGGTGAAGACACCGCCGCTCGGGAGAGGACCTCACTTGTCCACACCGTGCCAGCAGCCGCATTCGCCGAAGCCCACAACACCGGGGGGGCCGGCAACCGGGGGGAGGGGCGGGTTGTGTGTGTGGGGCGCGTGTGTGTGTGTGTGTGTAGGAGGGGGGCCTGCGTGTGTTGCGTGTGTGTAGCAATGAGCGCGCTGCGCTACGAACCCGGCGACCCGAGTTCGATTCCCGCTCACGGCCAACACCCAGTGACGATTATCTGAACCAGTCCTGGGCCTCCCCTAGGTCGATTCAGCCTCAAATAAGTACCTGGAGTGTTGTGTAAACAGCACCGCTAGGGAGACATATGCGGCCGGGTTTGGTGCTGTCCACCCACCCCCTCGTGTGCCGTGCCGGCCTTCATAGGTGCTCGCTAACAGCACTTTCCCCAACAGTCTGTTCAGGCTAAACGGGGGATCTTTGTCTTTGTGTGTGGCGTGCGTGTTTAAGGGGGGGGGGGGGGTGATGTATAGATCGTCGCGGCGGTCCGTGGTCACGCAGGAGTTGGCTTGGCGAGGATATTTTCCACCGCGTGTGTGCAGGGTGCCAGGTATTATTCCACGAGCCATCCCCTTGGAGCACGATTCAGGCGGAGCCAGATTAATGTTCAGAGTCGTTTATTATTATTTTTTTTTGCTACGCGCTCCGGCGATCCCTCCTGGTTAATTGCGCTTTAGTAAAGCGATCCTCCGCAGCTGTGCCGCCCTGTTGCTGCGGTTCTGTTTTTAATCACGGCTCTTTAGACATCGCGGCTCGGGTTCTGATGCGTGACGGAGTCCGCTGGCGAACGCGGCGCTGGTGCCGGTCGATGTCACGGGCGCTGGTGCGGGTCGATGTCACGTGCCGTCCCCGAGTGACAAACACAAATGGCTCCGAATTAAATTAAAGGACCCTGCGCTGCTCAAGAACTGTCGTTTCGGGCGACGGCGCAGCGAGAAAGCCTCCCTGAGCCTTCACGCTTTTCTTCTGGAGCCTCTCCCGTGCTCGGGATGTTTGGCCAAATGCATTTGACGAGCGTGCGGGATGTGGCAGGAAGCGTGCAAAGGGGCAGCGTAGAAAACACATAGACACGGACGTTCAATTCAAGCTGGAAGATCTTGAAGCGCTCGGACGCTCTTTGCTCTGACCCTCCTTTTCCCGGGTTTCCAGCCCGAGCTGGTAGCACTCAAAGCTCTGCTCCAGATAGATTCAGGAATCCATTGATGTGCTGCCATATTTTAGCCACCGCGTTGCTCAAGCCGACAACGCCCGGTATTCCGAGACAGCCTCCCTGGCAAGTGCTGCCCCAGGCTCAACTCTTGTTGGTCTGTGAAATCAGACGCGACTGCTGGTGTATTGCGGGTGATTTGGTCGTGGAATCTTTAACTTCGCGCTGTAAAGTTAATTCTGTTATCCTACAACTCGTGTTGTTTTCATAACGCGAATTCGATCTAACACGGTAGATGTATTCGGGAAGATTGTTTTTGTAACGGGGATGCGAATTCGATATATCGCGATCGAGTGAGTAGAAATAAAGGGTTGTACGGCTGCCTCGGCGGAGCATCACACGAGGCGGGATTCGCATCTCACGTGTTCTGGCGGACTGTGCTTTACCCTATATTATATATTATAACGCGATTGTTCCATTACACGATGTTCTTCAACCACTCTATCGGAGAACAGACTGTCCGCATCTTTTTTTTTTATCTCGAAAACCTTGAGTGAAGGCTGCCGGAGTGGCTTCTGGGTGATATTGCCAGAGGCTTGAGGTGACAACAACAACAACAGCAGTTCCAGCGGCAGCAGCTGCAACTTAAGAAACATTATTGGAACCTCATTTGCCAGTAAAAAATATGATAATTGGTTTTTACCCTTCTATCTGGCAACAAAACTGACACCTTTTTTTACAAAGAGTCATGTTTGCATAGACCACAATACCTGCAGTCATAATGCAAACAAAAAACATAACTCTGATAATGTATGCACTGTGCTTGAAGTTGATTGCTCCACACCCGAGACAGCTTTCCTTAGCGCCTAGTCTCACATGGGTTGGACCAGATGACGCCAAAAGGCGTACAAAGACACATTCTCAGTGTGCGGTCACGGCGCTGCATTTCCACCGCGGCTGAGAGGCCACAACGGTCGAGTTTCACGTGGGGAACGGCGGCACAGCAACGCAACAACAGCCAGACGGCGGCACAAACCGAACGACGGCCAGTCACAGCGATCACACTCCGGCTCGGAGAAGAACCAAGTGGCCCAGGAACTTCCAGTGCACCGTGATTTAGGAGCCCCCGTTTTTTTTTTATAATTCCTACCATTACACGTTTAAAAGAAATACATCTTCCACGGCCTGAAACCCAAACATGGGGTGAGTTGGAGTATGGCGCTGTAATAATAAACATAATTTGTGTTTTTTTGTTCAATAGCCGCTTTGGCCAAAGGAGAAAGATTGGCTCATCTTGCCAAAGATGAGAACACCAGGGTTAGCCCCAGACTCTCAGTGGGCAGATTTTTTTCTCTCCGCCTTCCGCCTGCGAGTCAACATTGCGTTCTACTCTGGACTAATCCTGTTTGTTTAACCCCCCTTTTGTGCTTCGCATTGCAGAATCGGTCCCTTTCTCTCGCTGTTATCGTAACCCTTTCCCGGCACGAGAAATAATACAGCGCAGAGATGCGCGATTAATACGACAAGTGAACCTCCCAGCTGCTCGCCCTTGCTGAAGCACTAGTAATCACGCCCGATGATCGTAATCACGCGCCATGTTCGGTGCAAGATAGGTAAATGTAAATAAAACAAAGGGACGTAAATGCCCCGTAAAGCCTTAGCAGACTGTTGCGGCAAGTGCTGTTTTAGCAAGCACCCATGAAGGCCGGCACAACACACGAGGGAGTGAGTGACCATCACCATGCCCAGCCGACTTTATCTCCAAAGTGGCAATGTTTAGGGCTGAGTCGACCAAGGGGAGGCGCAGGACCGGTTCGGATAATCATCGCTGGTGTTGGCCGTGAGCGGGAATCGAACTCGGGTCACTGGGTTCGCAGCACGCCGCGCTAACCGCTATGCACGCACGCACGCACGCAAGCGCGGTAAATTTTTCACACACGGAATCCGTGGCACGAAATTGCAGCCGATCCTCAGGTATTTTTTTGGTTTTACGATGAACACGCAGACACCGCTCGTTCCGACACGCGGCCGGTCCCGGCAGCGGCAGCTGCTGACCATTACGCGCCACGCCATATTTGGCACGAGTGGACCCAAGCGCTCGCGCGTGTGCACGTGTATATATTAGTATGCAGGCGTGTGTGCACGCGTGCATGTATGCGTCTTTGTGTTTGCACGCGTGTTTGCGAGGAGCGGTATTGTAGCGGTTAGCCCCGTCCACTGCGGTGACTCAAGTTCGATGCCCACTCACGGGGGATCTTTGCGAGCGTGCGCGCGTGCACGTGCGTGCGCGCGTGCGTGTCTGGGGACTCCGCGTGGCACCGGGCGGCTGATGGGGAGCTAAGTTTGGCTGGCGGCGGCTGCGGCGACGGTGGAGGGTTTTGAGAATTTGAGGGCGGAGGCGGCGCAGGAGATTCCTCGTCGTCCGTCGCCACCGCTGCCGCTGTTGTACCACTGCCGCCGCTGCTGCGTGCTTCGCCTGGCCCTGGGCAGTGTTCCTGTTTAATGTTGACGTTTCCTTTTGTTTCGTCTTGTTGCGCGCCCCTCCGCACGGTGACGTCCGTGCGTTCGGGTCTCGTTCGGCAAAGCGGACGGTTGTACGATGACTGCGGGTGATGCTTTGCGATGACGGACGCGGCGATTGATGGAAGTGTCGGCGATTACAATGTTGCTCGTTCATGACGATGATGGCATAGACGCTGATGGTGATTGATAGGTGTGTTGGTGTGAGTCGGTAGATGATAATGATGTTAAGAGGAACAAAAGGAAGAGGAAATGGTGGAAGAGGAGGTGGTAGACGATTCTGACGTTGGTGGCTGGTAATTAACATGACGACGGTGTTTAATCCTGTTTACAAATCAGCTGCGGCCACTCAAACCCCAATTTGTGAGCAACTCGAGAGAGAGAGAGAGACTCTCACACACACACACACAACCAATCGGAAATGTGGAACACATGTAGTGTTAAACGCACTTTATTTTTCCTATGGCCGACGAAGAAACCTTAATCCTCAGAGTCGGTGCCAAAATATCTCGGGACCCCCCCCCCCGCCTCCGTTCGCCTCCAGGGGATGGCGCAGCGAGCTGTTTTAAACCGAGGCCAAGGTTGGAGCCGCGGTTCGTTTGAAAGGGCCGAATTCTTCCGCGCTCTGTGCAATTCCCAGCAGGTGCGGGGCTGCCGCGCTTTGAAGCTGCCGGCGGTTTAATCGATATACAAGCACGGCGAGTGCCTTCCGCACCCACGTGCCCAGCGGTAACCCATTAGGGAAAAACGGGTGTTTTTTAGCCCCCGTTTGGAAGGCCAGAATTGAAACGTTATGCTTTGCCATATAAAAGGGACCAAAAGAAAAACACCGAACCAATTTGGGCCGTGCAATGGCACGGGCACGGCGCTCGCTCTGTCTCGCCCGTGCGTGGTCGCGTGGGTCCTCACGTTTTGCCCACTCGCTAAAATAAAAATAAATATTTTCTATTTTACCGGGTAAGGCCCACTGAGCTATGTAGGTCTTATTCAGAAGCGACCTGGCTATCACAAATGGGCTTCAGATCAGTCGCCCAGGTCTCTCCGTGTCGCTGAAGACCGCAACGCAGCAGGAAAAGAAAGCGGGGGGGCAAACACGAATAAAGTTGACTTCTGAAAACCACGAAGGCACAAGGCGAGGCTTGAATTTCAGCCGGGTCTGTCGATGTCGGCGACCCAGGACGTGTTTCCGCCGCCCAGAGCATCGCATAAAGGGTGTCTCTGGCCTTCGCCGTAACTACGACGAGTCACGTGCCACCTCCAACGAAGCAGCGATCCGGAATATATTTCGCGAAGCGGGTGTACCGCATTCAAGAATACACTATAAGATTATTAAACTGTTTTTGTTATTTCACCAGGTAAAGCCCACCGAGCGACTTGGCTATAATAAATGATGGCTCAACGAAGCGGCTTATCGCGTGGAAAATTTATATCAGCCAAATACTCTTAAACACATGATTCCAAATGTGGAGGGAAAAACTGAGACAATTCCACGCGACCAAGGGGAGAGAGACATGCAAACTCCGCGTATACAGTCAGCAAAGTCAGGATTGAACCCACGACCTCCTGTTTATCAGGTAAGGTAGTTAACATCTTACTCTGTGTCCACGTAATCTTAAACAGGTCGACCGCCTCTGCCACACGAGTGTCAGCACGGACACTTCAGACAAAGAAGCCAATCGCTTCGTTGGCTTTACCTAGTCAAGTAAAGCATTTGCTTCGTGATTTCCTTCCTTTCCTAGACGTTGCACTCCGACCATCTGTTTTTTTTGTTTGTTGTGGTCAGTTTATGACCCGCCCCGATTTGACATCTGTGGAAAAAAGAGCTCCAAACCTCATCGGATTCCTCCCGCAGTCTAAATAAAGATTCTAACGCTGATGACGCTCACGTACACGCCTTGATCAGAGCTCCGTTTCTCACGGAATGTTTTCCGGGCCGCTGGTAAGACCGCTGGAATAGATTCTACACGTGACGAGTAGCCACCGTCGCATAGAGAGAGGCGGGGAGTGGAGGGGGGTGGTGGTGGTATACTGGATGTGGTGTTTTCCGGGTTGCTGACCTGGCTGAAATTAAGCCCTGGCCAGGTCTTAATTGGCGAGGATGTGTAAATTGCGAAAGGTGTCTTCGACGTTTAGACGATCACGACCGCTCGCTCGCTCGCCTCTCTGACGCCCCCAGCGCTCTTTGTCACAGAGCAGCCAGCGGTCGGCGTCGCAGAGGTCATCGGCGACGGTAATCGACGCCCGTATTGACGCCATCGCGTGATCATTCGTTAATTAAGATTATTCATTTAGTTGCTTGCTTTGTTTTTTTATTATTCAATCACGGTTGCTAGGCCACAGGCCCAAAGGCCCAAAATGCCAATCGGCGGTCAACTGAAGGCGTTAATTGATGAGCGCTGATGTGCGTCTTGAAGTGGGCAAGGTCATTGTCACAACTCGGGGAGAAAAAGACGACGGGAGGGAGTTGTACTTGAGAACAGTGCGAGGGATTTAACCAGCATGAGAAGTGCCGTGACCTGCAACGTGCTTGTCGAACTAGCTACGGATGATCTCTTACTGCCCGGCACTACCGCTGACATTGACCAACCGCTCCTGTGCGTTCCCTCCCATCCTCCCATTGCATCCTCTCCACCCCCCTGCCCCCTGCCCGCCCACCACAGGGAGTTTGAGAGCGAGTGGTTGCTGTGCGACTGCGGCCTGCGCTGGCTACCCGGACACCTGCGCAACCGCTCGGTGCGCCTGTCGGAGCCCACGCGCTGCCCCTACCCCCGCGCGCTCCGCGGAATCCCCGTGCGTGCGCTGCAGGAGACGCAGCTCAACTGCGGTGAGCATCTCCCGTGCCTCCCCCCACCCCCACACCCCCACAACGCGCTCGCGACGACGCGCGGACGCACTGGGCTTGCCATCCAGAGGTCGCCGGTCGCATTGGGTCACCCGGCGGCCCGGTAGTTGAGACAGAGCGGAACGCTTCTTGAGCCCTGCCCCCTGCCCCCCCCCTGCCCCCCTGCCAGAGGTCGCAACCGGGTACCCGATACCCGTACCCTACCCGATACCCGGCTACCCGTACCCGGCCGGGTACAGGTACGGGTAGCCGTTTGCGACCCTGGTGCGGCCGGGTACGGGTACGGGTAGACCGTGAGTCACTGGTGAGTAACTGTTTGTCACTCATTTCGGGTAGGGTACGGGTACGGGTAGGGAATCAAACCCCGTTTGCGACCTCTACCCCCTGCTCCCCTGCCCCCCAGTCTCACGTTGGGCCACTGTGACCCTGCCCGCATTGCGTCCAGGGGGGGGGGGCACGTCTTGTGCTCGCTCCTCCTCTTCCGCCAGCCGTGGGTCCCATTGCTTCATTGCCCAGCACTGGTAGCCACGTGAAGGGCTGACGCGAGATGTTAACTGCCTCGATTGGTGGACAGGAGGTGGAGGAGGGACTGTTCGCCAAAGGTGCCATGAGCGAGCAATTGCAGGGCTGCACCTTCACCTTATTATTATTTTGATTTTTACGAGTTTGAGAAAGAGGCCTTTGAGGGATGAATGAACGGGGTGGGGGGGGGGGTTAAGTTCATCCGACAGTGGAGTGATGAATGTGATGCGCGAATGAGGACCATGTGGGTTCTAGCGGATGCCCTTTTGCCAGTAAACTATTGCAGGGCTGCACCCTTACCAATGACCAATTCACTCGCCATGCCCCCCATCTCGTCAGAGCTGGGAAGCTAAGGAGGGTTGAGCCTGGATAGCGCTCGGACGAGCGACCATCTTACATCAAATCATTCTCAATGGGCCTGCAGGGCTATGTGGTCGGCAGCAGGGGCCCGTGCAAAAAAAACACAGTGTTGTACTGTATTATGCTCCATAGTCTATGCTCCCAACCTTGATCAATCTGCTTGGTGAAGTGGCACAGTGGTTAGCACGCAGCGGAACTGGAACTCGAGCTCGATTCCCGGCCACGATGAACATCAGTAGCAAGTGACAAATTGTAATTCCTAAATATGGCGTTGTTAGTTTTAATGTGACGTTAGTAACACTTCGTCTGTGTTCTCCAGTTGCCTGGGTGAAAAGTGGGCTCGGTTTTGCCCAATCCTGTCCAACTCGCAAGACAAACTTACAAAGAATGAATAATATCTGAAGCAGGCATGCCCCCCTCCCCACCCGCCTCCGTCTTCACTAACCTGCACTGACCAGCGTGGTGAAGTATGGTCAAACAGCCCCCATGACTGGCGCGGCATGGTCAGGCATCCACACAGATGGCTGCTCCACGTTGAATGTATTTTTCCTATCAACACTGTTACCATGCACGTGTTTGTCTGGGGCGGTTGGCATTCAACTCTCATTAGGAACATTTGAGTTCCGATCCCGATCGGAGGCGGGGAGAGGGCAGTCTCAGAACATCAGTGGAGACTTCCCGCATCCCGAAAGTGTTGAACTTTCACATGTGGCTCAGATGTACTGGCTCGTGTGTTCGTCCATTCGTGTGCCTGTATGTGTGTGTGTGTGCATACGTGTGCGTGTGTGTGTGCATACGTGCGTGTGTGTGTGTGTCATTGTGATGGAGGGCGGCAGTGGAGCGGTTAGCACACTGCGCTCCGAACCTGCCTGTTCACGGCCAACATCAGTGACGATTATCTGAACCGGTCCTGGACCTCCCCTAGGTCGACTCGGCCTTAAAATGAGTACCTGGAGCGGTGTGTAAAAATCGCTACTAGGGAGACAAAGGCGGCCGGGCGTGATGTTGGGCACCCACCCCTTCGTGTGCCGTACCGGCCTTCATAGGTGCTCGCTAACAGCACTTGCCCCAACAGTTTGTTCAGGCTATACGGAATATCTTTGCCTTTGTGTGCGTTTGAGTGGATGCATATGCGTGTGGATGCTTGTGTCAGCGCAGGCTTGTGTTTTGTGTTGTGCGCGCGTGTCCGTGTGTGTACGTGTATGCTCGTGCTTGGCTTGGTTTGTGATTGCATGCAAACATGCATGAATGTACGCTGTGTAAATGTTCGTCAAAATGCGTCCGTATGCACACGTGTGTGTGTGTGCGTGTGTGTTTGTGTGCGTGTGTGTGCGTGTGTGTGTGGTGTGCTTGTATGAGTGCGCGTTTGGATCAGCGCATGCTTATGCATATATTTGTGTGAGTGCATGCGTGTGAGTACTTGTGTAAGTGTGAGTACTTGTGTAAGTGTGTGTGAGTATTTGTGTAAGTGTGCGTGTGTGTGTGTGAGTGTGTGAGTGCGTGTGTGAGTGCGTGTGTGAGTCCTTGTGAGTGCGTGTGTGAGTACTTGTGTGAGTGTGCGTGTAAGTGTGTGTGTGAGTACTTGTGTGAGTGTGCGTGTAAGTGTGTGTGTGTGAGTACTTGTGTGTGCGTGTGTGAGTACTTGTGTGTGCGTGTGTGAGTACTTGTGTGTGTGTGCGTGTGTGAGTACTTGTGTGTGCGTGTGTGAGTACTTGTGTGAGTGTGCGTGTGTGAGTACTTGTGAGTGCGTGTGTGAGTACTTGTGTGTGCGTGTGTGAGTACTTGTGTGTGAGTGTGTGTGTGAGTACTTGTGAGGGCGTGTGTGAGTACTTGTGTGAGTGTGCGTGTGTGAGTGTGTGTGTGAGTACTTGTGAGTGTGTGTGTGAGTACTTGTGTGTGTGTGCGTGTGTGAGTACTTGTGAGTGCGTGTGTGAGTACTTGTGTGTGTGTGCGTGTGTGAGTACTTGTGAGTGCGTGTGTGAGTACTTGTGTGAGTGCGTGTGTGAGTGTGCGTGTGTGAGTACTTGTGTAAGTGTGCGTGTGTGAGTGTGCGTGTGTGAGTGTGCGTGTGTGAGTACTTGTGTAAGTGTGCGTGTGTGTGTGAGTGTGTGAGTACTTGTGAGTGCGTGTGTGAGTACTTGTGTGAGTCTGTGTGTGAGTGAGTACTTGTGTGAGTGCGTGTGTGAGTACTTGTGTGTGAGTGAGTACTTGTGTGAGTGCGTGTGTGAGTACTTGTGTATGAGTGAGTACTTGTGTGAGTGCGTGTGTGAGTACTTGTGTGTGAGTGAGTACTTGTGTGTGAGTACTTGTGTGTGAGTACTTGTGTGTGAGTGTGCGTGTGTGAGTACTTGTGTGTGAGTACTTATGTGTGAGTGAGTACGTGTGTGTGTACTTGTGTGTGAGTACTTGTGTGTGAGTGAGTACTTGTGTGAGTACTTGTGTGTGAGTACTTGTGTGTGAGTGAGTACTTGTGTGTGTACTTGTGTGAGTGTGAGTGAGTGTGGCTGGGACGAGGCTAAGCGGGATTCTTTGGGATCATCGTGACTTAGTTTGAAAGCCGCGGGCTCAGGGCACCAAACTGTGGCACAATAATAAATACGTCTCTTTAAACAACAATAAAAAAAACCCAATAACAACAACAACGATGGCAACAACAACAAACAAACGAACGTCGCGGCAAGAAACGTCGCACCAGCAAATCGGTGTTTTTATTGCCCCATTATGTTATTTTTTGCTTTTGCCACGCCAATGTCTTTGCTTAGCATTATTTATGTTTACGTTTTGGTTGGGCTCTTGCTACACTTGCCCCCAGGGTGGCGCGGATCATCTGACAGGTCTCAGCGGTGGGCCCCCCCCTTCCCCCCTGCCCCCCCCCCCCCACCAGCCCTCGACGCCCCCCCCCCCACAAACAAACCACGCGGCGCTGTGGCAGGCAGCGGCGGCTGCTCGTGTCGGAGTGTCCTCCACCTCCCTCTCTCGCGCCACGGGGACACACTGTGGAAGTTGCGGGAGTCCCACTAGCGAATGGTCCCCGGTGATCATTGGTTAGGGCGCCACGGAGGCGAGATGTTAACTACCTCGCCTGGTACGCAGGAGGTCGTGGGTTCGATCCCGACCCTGACGCCACGCCTGTGTCTTTGGAGTTTCGTGTGCCCTCCCCGAGGTCGCGTGGATTTTTCTCCGGGTCCTTCCGAGTTTTCCCTCTACATTTAGAAACGCGCGTTGGTAGTGTTTGGCCGCTGTAGTTTCCACGTGATGAGCCACTTTGTTGAGCTATCATTTGTGGCTAGGTCACTTCTGAAAAAGAGCTACACAGCTCAGTGTGCCATACCTGGTAAAATAAAATAAAAAATAGTTTTTCGTTTTAAAAAGAGTTTTAGATCAGAGATGCACAGGGACATGCTCACAGATCTATATGGGAGTGAGTGAAGGTCGCTGTAGCTCACAGGTCTCTATGGGAGTAAGTGAAGGTCGCTGTAGCTCACAGATCTCTATGGGAGTGAGTGAAGGTCGCTGTAGCTCACAGGTCTCTATGAGAGTGAGTGAAGGTCGTTGTAGCTCACAGGTCTCTATGGGAGTAAGTGAAGGTCGCTGTAGCTCACAGGTCTCTATGCGAGTGAGTGAAGGTCACTGTAGCTCACAGGTCTCTATGAGAGTGAGTGAAGGTCGTTGTAGCTCACAGATCTCTATGGGAGTGAGTGAAGGTCGCTGTAGCTACAGATCTCTATGAGAGTGAGTGAAGGTCACTGTAGCTCACAGGTCTCTATGAGAGTGAGTGAAGGTCGTTGTAGCTCACAGGTCTCTATGAGAGTGAGTGAAGGTCGCTGTAGCTACAGATCTCTATGGGAGTGAGTGAAGGTCGTTGTAGCTACAGATCTCTATGGGAGTAAGTGAAGGTCGCTGTAGCTACAGATCTCTATGGGAGTGAGTGAAGGTCGCTGTAGCTACAGGTCTCTATGAGAGTGAGTGAAGGTCGTTGTAGCTCACAGGTCTCTATGGGAGTGAGTGAAGGTCGCTGTAGCTCACAGGTCTCTATGAGAGTGAGTGAAGGTCGCTGTAGCTACAGGTCTCTATGGGAGTGAGTGAAGGTCGCTGTAGCTACAGGTCTCTATGGGAGTGAGTGAAGGTCGCTGTAGCTACAGATCTCTATGGGAGTGAGTGAAGGTCTCTGAATCTCACAGATCTCTATCGGAGTGAGTGAAGGTCGCTGTAGCTCACAGGTCTCTATGGGAGTGAGTGAAGGTCTCGGTAACTCACAGGTCTCTATGGGAGTGAGTGAAGGTCGCTGTAGCTCACAGGTATCTATGGGAGTGAGTGAAGGTCGTTGTAGATCACAGGTCTCTATGCGAGTGAGTGAAGGTCTCTGTAGCTCACAGGTCTCTATGGGAGTGAGTGAAGGTCGCTGTAGCTCACAGGTCTCTATGGGAGTGAGTGAAGGTCGTTGTAGATCACAAGTCTCTATGGGAGTGAGTGAAGGTCGTTGTAGATCACAAGTCTCTATGGGAGTGAGTGAAGGTCGCTGTAGCTCACAGGTCTCTATGGGAGTGAGTGAAGGTCGTTGTAGATCACAAGTCTCTATGGGAGTGAGTGAAGGTCGTTGTAGATCACAAGTCTCTATGGGAGTGAGTGAAGGTCTCTGTAGCTCACAGGTCTCTATGCGAGTGAGTGAAGGTCTCTGTGGCTCACAGATCTCTATGGGAGTGAGTGAAGGTCGTTGTAGATCACAAGTCTCTATGGGAGTGAGTGAAGGTCGCTGTAGCTCACAGATCTCTATGGGAGTGAGTGAAGGTCTCTGTAGCTCACAGGTCTCTATGGGAGTGAGTGAAGGTCTCTGTAGCTCACAGATCTCTATGGGAGTGAGTGAAGGTCTCTGTAGCTCACAGGTCTCTATGGGAGTGAGTGAAGGTCTCTGTAGCTCACAGATCTCTATGGGAGTGAGTGAAGGTCTCTGTAGCTCACAGATCTCTATGGGAGTGAGTGAAGGTCGCTGTAGCTCACAGGTCTCTATGGGAGTGAGTGAAGGTCACTGTAGCTCACAGATCTCTATGGGAGTGAGTGAAGGTCTCTGTAGCTCACAGATCTCTATGGGAGTGAGTGAAGGTCTCTGTAGCTCACAGGTCTCTATGGGAGTGAGTGAAGGTCACTGTAGCTCACAGATCTCTATGGGAGTGAGTGAAGGTCTCTGTAGCTCACAGGTCTCTATGGGAGTGAGTGAAGGTCACTGTAGCTCACAGATCTCTATGGGAGTGAGTGAAGGTCACTGTAGCTCACAGATCTCTATGGGAGTGAGTGAAGGTCTCTGTAGCTCACAGGTCTCTATGGGAGTGAGTGAAGGTCACTGTAGCTCACAGATCTCTATGGGAGTGAGTGAAGGTCACTGTAGCTCACAGGTCTCTATGGGAGTGAGTGAAGGTCACTGTAGCTCACAGATCTCTATGGGAGTGAGTGAAGGTCACTGTAGCTCACAGGTCTCTATGGGAGTGAGTGAAGGTCGCTGTAGCTCACAGATCTCTATGGGAGTGAGTGAAGGTCACTGTAGCTCACAGGTCTCTATGGGAGTGAGTGAAGGTCACTGTAGCTCACAGGTCTCTATGGGAGTGAGTGAAGGTCGCTGTAGCTCACAGGTCTCTATGGGAGTGAGTGAAGGTCGTTGTAGCTCACAGGTCTCTATGGGAGTGAGTGAAGGTCGTTGTAGCTCACAGGTCTCTATGGGAGTGAGTGAAGGTCGTTGTAGCTCACAGATCTCTATGGGAGTGAGTGAAGGTCGTTGTAGCTCACAGGTCTCTATGGGAGTGAGTGAAGGTCGTTGTAGCTCACAGATCTCTATGAGAGTGAGTGAAGGTCGTTGTAGCTCACAGATCTCTATGAGAGTGAGTGAAGGTCGTTGTAGCTCACAGATCTCTATGAGAGTGAGTGAAGGTCGTTGTAGCTCACAGATCTCTATGAGAGTGAGTGAAGGTCGTTGTAGCTCACAGATCTCTATGAGAGTGAGTGAAGGTCGCTGTAGCTCACAGGTCTCTATGGGAGTGAGTGAAGGTCACTGTAGCTACAGATCTCTATGAGAGTGAGTGAAGGTCGTTGTAGCTACAGATCTCTATGGGAGTGAGTGAAGGTCGTTGTAGCTACAGATCTCTATGGGAGTGAGTGAAGGTCGCTGTAGCTACAGGTCTCTATGGGAGTGAGTGGAGCTCGCTGTAGCTACAGATCTCTATGGGAGTGAGTGGAGCTCGCTGTAGCTACAGATCTCTATGGGAGTGAGTGAAGGTCTCTGTAACTCACAGGTCTCTATGGGAGTGAGTGAAGGTCTCTGTAGCTCACAGGTCTCTATGGGAGTGAGTGAAGGTCGCTGTAGCTCACAGGTCTCTATGGGAGTGAGTGAAGGTCTCTGTAGCTCACAGATCTCTATGGGAGTGAGTGAAGGTCGTTGTAGCTACAGATCTCTATGGGAGTGAGTGAAGGTCTCTGTAGCTACAGATCTCTATGGGAGTGAGTGAAGGTCGTTGTAGCTACAGATCTCTATGGGAGTGAGTGAAGGTCGCTGTAGCTACAGATCTCTATGGGAGTGAGTGAAGGTCTCTGTAGCTACAGATCTCTATGGGAGTGAGTGAAGGTCGCTGTAGCTACAGATCTCTATGGGAGTGAGTGAAGGTCTCTGTAGCTCACAGATCTCTATGGAAGTGAGTGAAGGTCTCTGTAGCTCGCAGGTCTCTATGGGAGTGAGTGAAGGTCTCTGTAGCTCGCAGGTCTCTATGGGAGTGAGTGAAGGTCTCTGTAGCTCAACGCAAAGACTTAGCCACCCTGTGGCTATTGGGTACACCACAGATTTGATCTGAAAAGTCCAGTAGAAATATCACGTTAGTGTGAGAAGGGAGGTAATGGATGAGTTGGTTGCAATATAACACAATTATAGGTCACGCAATTATAGGTCAGTAGAACTATTAGGGATAATTCTACTGACCTATAATTGCGTTACATTGCACCCTCCCTTCTCACACTAACGGTGCTCTTTAATTTCTGTGCAGCTGCGTGAGTCGTCGTTGCTGCGCGAAACCCCCTTCAACCAATTGCCGTGCGCTTCATCGCGTACCTCTCGTTTCTCCCTTCCTATGCTCTCTTTCTGCCACCCGCATCTCCACCAACCCCCCCATCCCCCAAACCACCCCCCACCACCTCCACCCGCCTCTACTGGCCGCACCCTCCCTCCCCCTCCCCCCTCCGCCGGTCGTCAATCACGAGCGCAGACGGCCCCCTGGAGCTGCCGACGCTGCAGCTCATCCCGTCGTCGAACCAGGTGGTGTTCCGCGGCGACCGCCTCCCGCTGCAGTGCACCGCCACGTGGGTGGACGCCAGCACGAGGGTGGAGTGGCACCTCGACGGGAACCCCGTGGGGGCCACGGTGGACGGAGCCACCGTGCTGCTTGAGAACAGCACCGTCCACGACTGCACGCTCATCTCCAGGTCAGAGGTCACACGGGGGGTGGCGGAGGTTGGGCGGGGGGGCGGTCGGGCGCTGAGTAACGGTTAGCCGGGATCGTGAGCCGGGTTCAAAGGTCATGATTCGGATAAGGGTCAGCGTGGTTCATGAACCAGGTTTAAGGGTGACGGCTGGGGTAGTGGTCAACTCGGGTCATGAGCGAAGGTTAGATGTCATGCCTGGGACAAGGGTCAGAGTGGGTTGAGAGGCAGGCCCATGTATTGGGCACCCCCCCCCCTACCACCGCCACCTTCCATCTGCTGTGAGCCATGATCTATTCTTCGTCTCTTCGTCCGCACCTGCGATTAGCACGGTTGGCTAACATACGGTGCGAAAAAAGTTCAACGAACATGCATAGATGGCATAATACGTGCACGGCATCGTGTGTGTGCGAGAAACAATTCTTTATTCAAATCACATTTACATGTGTGCATTTAGGCCCATAGCTCAAACAAAACCGCACGAACGAGACGTTCCAAGAAAATTGAGAAGGCACAAAAACGAGACGTCGCAAGCGAATCGTGACCTCGAATCGCGACTTCAAATCGCGACAATTCACGCTGGCCCGGCATCGCTCACCACATGCAAATCGCAAGAGTCGATCAGAAATACTGTTTTTGTTGTTTTTTTATTTAACAGACCGCAGCTCTAGTCACAGCCATCTGTTTAGAATCAGGCCGGAACGCTAGTTTAAAATGCAAATGCCAATGTGAGGCTTTCCTTTGCCTGACTGGCACACTGTTCGGACAGGGATGCATCGTATTAATATTTAATCACTTGCAAAATGTTTTCCGTTCAGGAAAGTAAGTCGGCTTTGGTTAGGGATGCATCACTGGTCGAAGGGATGTTGCCTGATGGACAAGCCTGACGACATAATTACAGCCAAAGAAGAGAACACTCCAGGGATAAGGACCTCCCACCGTGGAGATAGAGTGATGAGATTAGCTCACGTGGAGGAGTGAAATGAATTCTGGCATTTCCCAACATTTATTTGGTCATGGGCATATTTATTTGCTTGTTTTTACACTGTACAGGGGTTTGCGTACCTTGTAGAGAGGAGCTTTATAAATGTAATTTTTTTTATCATCGCAGGACCATGCCAGATGGCGATGATGGTGATAATGATGATGATGACAATAATGGTGACATTGTTGATGATTACTTCTTGAAATCGATTATTACGATGACAGTTATGATGAGGGCACTGATGATAATAACAACGAAGACTCAGTCTTGATGGGCGTACGTACATATGTATTTTGAACTTCTTTCGCACCGTACATTGCCAACGGTCAATCCCAATTTGTGCCCGCACGGTTCATCGCTCATGGCCCCCCATTTCCCGGCTGTCCGGCCCCTCTCACCCCCCCCCACCACGTGTCCCGACACAGTGGGCTCATGCTGCCGGACGTGAGCGTGGGGATGTCTGGCCGTTGGGAGTGCGTGGTGAGCACCTCGCGTGGCAACGCGAGCCGCGCCGTCGACATCATCGTCCTGGAGAACTCGTCGCTGCACTGCCCCGCCGAGCGGCTCGTCAACAACAAGGGCGACTTCAGGTGCTCGCTCACTCGCTCGCTCACTCGACCACCCGTCCACTCACCCGTTCGACCGCCTGTTTGATCACCCTACCCGCTCAGCAGCCTGGCAAACAAGAAAAAATGAAACTATTTTGATTTTACCAGGTAAGATCCATTGAGCTATGTAGCTCGTTTTCAGAAGCGACCTGGCCACAAATAATAGCTCAACGAAGTGGGCTTATTACGTAGAAATGTATAGCGGCCAAATACTCTAAACGCCTGAGTATAAATGTGGAGTACCCAGCGAAAAATCCGCGTGACCATAGGAAGAACATGCAAGCTCCATATATAAAGGCATCAGGATCGGGATCTAGCCCACAACCTCCTGTATACCAGGCGAGGTAGTTAACATCTCGCATGGCACCAACAAACGTAACTTGCTTCCGACAAATGTTCCCGCTCGGCTTGCAGCGCCCAACCATGTCCGTGAGCTCTGGCCGAGCCGGCAATGCCCGTTGGATGACGACGACATCTCAATCCCGAAAACCGCCGGCGCCACAAGCTGCGGTTGACAGAAAGTTAGAGAATTCCCCGAAGGTAGAACCATTGGCTCAGTTGATATTTATCAAATTTCAGCGACTAGGCATGTCGCGTTGGTCACGGGGGTTTGTTTTACCGTGCTTCACCACGCCGCTCAGTGCGGTTCAGTGAGGGAGGTGTCCGGGACAGGTTCAGACAGCCATGGCTGGGAATTCTATCCATGGCCAGGAATTTAACTCAGGTTTACCGGGTCTACAGCGCAGAGTGTGATGATCACTGCACTCCAGCTCTGACCCGACATTTTAACAGGAGCGCTAGTAAAATGAGTGCTGCAGGTACTGGCGCAGTGTGCTGGTAATGGCTTAACATCTGCCGATAGCCAAATGCGTAGAAAGAATATTTGAAGACCTCAAGAAGAATGAACTGACATGCCCCCCCCACCCCCCACAAAGCGGCGCCCCGTCAGTGTCGCTCATAATCCTATTATCCTGATATGTTGCACATGAGTATTACTACAGTATCCGGGCTATCTTCTGACTCTACTTAAAAGCCACCGTACGTAATAAACTCTGTAGGTAATGAAGAGGTAGGCTGTAGGTATGGGGGACAATGTTTTTTTATTTTATAGAGAGAAGAAATGTAATAGTTTCCATACTGTTTTGGGGCATCTGCGAGCAATTTTAAGGCAAGGGAAGAGGGCAGCACCTGCAGTGCACTCTGGGTAATGCAAATCATCAGGTGACGGGGTAGGTGGGACTTGGCAGTGGAAGAAACGCGGTTGCGGCGACCTGGGAGCTGTTATTTATCGTTCTTTTTTTATAGTCTTCTTTTGATATGCGGGCAGCTACCAGATGTGTTCGGATTCGTCCTCTCTGCTTCTCTCCCGTCCATACCGTAACCTGCTTGACCGCCGAGTACACATTTGGATTATGGAGCATATCTGGAATTAATAGGTGTGGAGACATTAACGAGCAGCCTAACGAGCAACAGATGTGGGTCACGAGCAGGCTTGTTCGGATCCCCCGAACCACAATGTTAAGCATTCCAATATCAGATACTTGTTATAACATACAATTTTGAATCGTGAACCGTCTAAGATGCGATTTCAATATGCCGTACATGAGTTCATGATGATCATAATAATTATTAATGGCCCTTTGTCAATCTACTAATGGACGAAGGCCTCACCACGCCGCATTGGCCATGGGGATTATTTGACCATACTTCGCCATGCTGGTCAATAGGGGTTGGTGGATGGGGCAGGGGTGAGCGGGACAGGTCCAGTTCAGGTATCACTCACCACTCATTGTTACCCGAGAATCAAACTCAAGTTGCCAGATTCATACCGCGGTGCGCCAACCACTGCATCGCTGCTCCACCACGTCCAGGAATTGTGACAGCTTCATACGCAACGTGGATGCAAACGCACAAACCCCCATTGTGAACGGCGCCAATGTTTCTCCACCAAGGAAATGGTTGTCCTTGAAGCGGAGGATTGTTAAGTCTCCACAGCAGACACGTCCGTCAGTCTATAAACCAAGCGCTGTCGTCGTCGCCTCGCGGTGGCCACCTTGCGCTCTCTTTCCTGGGGGTGGGATGGGGGGGGGGCTGCGGTGGTGTGTGTGGTGGGGGGGGCAGAATTTACGACGAAGCTCATCGTGCTGGTTTCACTCCGCTCCGTTATCCACGAAACAAAACGCTTCTTCGGCGCCGAGCGGTGAGAGCCGTACCCCTTCGCCAGCCGTGCCGGAGACGACCGGTGGTTTGCATTAGGAGGCTGGCATGCCCTGCCATGATTCACGCCACATGTCCGCCCAACATCTGGCACGCAAGCTTTCCAATTTTATGCATTCCTCACGCGAAGCTGTGACCCAGTAGAGAGGCACGGGCGCCGTGCCCAGTAGAGGGACGGGGCCAACCGATGAACGTGCCCGGCAGGTGCCCAATCGTCTGGTGGCACCACCCCGTCGCCTTCTGCCTCTCGTTTTCCACTGCACAGCCGAGCTGGTGTGCCAGCCTGGTTCGGCTCAGGAGGTGGACGGGTTGTTTCAGCCACCGGCGAATAAGCGAGCCCGTGCCCCTTACGTCGAACGCAAGAAACGAGTCTGACTGAAAATGAGAAACCCCGTGACCCGAGCCAGATTCAAATGTTTGTTTATTCCGGAATTTCACGGTTTTGTTCTGGCTCCGGCTTTGGGGAAAATATCAGTGGTGCAAAACGAACCGCCCGTTATTCGTGTGTGCCCTTCGCTGACTCGGATGTCCCAGTGGGGGAGTAAAAATGGGAACGAAAGGCGTCGCGTCCGTTAACAAAATGCGCCGATGTCTGGCAGGTGGCCGCGGACGCTGGCGGGCATCACGGCCACGCTGCCATGCCCCCACCACCAGCCGCTAGCATCCGTCGGGCTCGCTGGTTCGCCAGTCCCTGCCGGCGGCGGCGGCGGTGGCGGTGGCTCCTCCGGTGGTGGTGGTGGTTCCGGTGCGCTGGTGGCGTCGCGGAGGTGTGACCGCACAGGGCAGTGGGTGGACGGGGACCACGCGAGCTGCCAGTACGCCAACGAGCATACGCGGCTCCTGCACACGTTCACTCAGGTGCAGCCAAGTGGCGGTCGCCGCGACGCTTTCTCACGTGACGGTCACCGCGATTGTGCGATCTGGATTTTTTGTTCCAAACGACGGATTGCCAAACCCCACAGGCTCTAAGGCACCAAAATGCCAAGCGGCCAGCGACGACGGTCAGCACGGTTGAAGTTTGCAACAGATGAAAGCGAAAACGTTTCGTGAATTGAGCGAGGTTATTTAAATATATGGTTAATGAAAACTTTTTTTTTAAACACTTTGGAAACGAGACGCAGACAGGGAATGCAAGTTTGTTCGTGGCACTTGTGAGCACCACTCACTCGCCCACCTCACCCTCCTCACCATCACCACCATCATCGCCCTATTCACCATAACCACCCGGCTTGCTCTTCTCACCCCCCTCCTCACTATTCTCATCACCAATCACACCATCATCACCCTCTTCCATCCTCCTTACCCTCCTCATGTTTTGTTTATTGCGTTTTTTTGTCTGTTGCGGTTGCACCCGATTCAAGAGCCGAATGGCTCACAGGGCTATACCAAATAAATGAAACTGAAACTCATTTCTTTAAAAATCAGCTGTTTCGTCTATAGTTTGTTGTCCTTCCCCCGCACCTCAGATTAACGCGGTTGGCTACGTACGGTGCAAAAGAAGGGCAACGCACACGCGTGCAATTGACGAGGGCGATAACCGCGCTGGCTCCAGGGCTGGATGTCTCACTGAGAACGTCGTCTGGAGTAGGCCCAGAGACTGGATGTGGCGTGCTGGGTGCGGACATATTTTAGGAACAGACCTAGCTGACACGAATCGCTGACTGGGAGAGCCCCAGGAATGTTCAAACTGTATGTCTATCGTGTTGAAATATACTGTATATACTAGCTTTACTACCCGGCTTCGCCCGGGACTTGGATTCACCACGCCCGGCCGCCTTTGTCTCCCCAGTGGCGATGTTCACACACCACACCAGTTACTCGTTTGAGGCTAAGTCGACCTAGAGGAGGCCCAGGAGCCGGTTCAAATAATCGTCACCGGTGGTGGCTGTGAGCGGGAATCGAACTCGGGTCACCGGGTTCGTAGCGCAGCGCGCTACCCACTGCACTACAATCCGTTACGCTTCCACGTGCGCGGGTCACGTGACAGATTTGACGTCACAGCTCACTTGCCGTGCAAAGAATATATGCAATATTGAGCTCCCTCCTCAAAAAAAGTGTATTTGTATAATTGTTGCATGGTGTACAGTCTGGAAAGTACCCACATGGCAAATTTCAAGTTTGTTGCATGTCGGGAAGTATGCTAAACATTTTAAAACAGACACACATAATCACAACTTTGCTTTTTATATATATGGAGATATTTTTGGTGGACCCGTGGTGCAATGGGAAACGAAACTGCACCGTAAGCCTGGCCACCCGAGTTTGATTCCTGGCCACGGCTGAAAGCCCCTTTGATTCTGAAACCGATTCATAACTCCCGAACCCTTTATACCTGACCCACACTGACCAGCGTGGTGAAATATGGTCAAACAACCCCCAAGACTGCTTAATTTTTTTAATCATTCACAGATTTTCACACCAGTGTCGGACTTCGAAAGGACACAGCATAGGCATGTACACTATACATATATACAAGATAAGAGCTGTTTATTGTTTGGGTCATGTCCTCTTTGAAATGAAGGGGGCATTCGATGCCCCATTTAATGGACACTACAAGGCCAGGGTAGGTGGCCGTTGGGGGTTGTAAAAGGCCATTGCTTTCGGGTGGCACTTGTTCGTGGTCTCCTCTGAGAGTTCAAGTTCATTTATTAGGTATAGCACTGTGAGCCATTCGGCTCTTGAATCGGGTGCAACCGCAACAAACAAAAAACAAAAACATGAACAAGAAAACATCTTAAAGTGAATATGTGACTAAATGCAACCAGAAAATCCAAGAAACGACAGCAAAATATTGCAGAAAAAAGCACCGTACACCAACGCTGTGTGCAAAAATCCCAGTGGGATGCAAGTCAAACAACAACAACAACCACAAGACAACTTAGATTAAGGCCATCAGTCTAACTCCGTACTACAACAAACAAACGTGGCCAAACCAGTAAACTTTTCTAAATCACCAAAATAAAGCAATGAAACAGTGATCATAGGAACTGTGACGGAATTTTCACAATGAACGACACCTCCTCACCCTCCACCTCTTCCTCCACCTCTTCCTCCACCTCTTCCTCCACCTCTTCCTCCACCTCTTCCTCCACCTCCTTCTCCACCTCCTCCTCCACCTCTTCCTCCACCTCCTCCTCCAACTCTTCCTCCACCTCTTCCTCCACCTCTTCCCCCACCTCTTCCTCCACCTCTTCCTCCACCTCTTCCTCCACCTCCTTCTCCACCTCCTCCTTTACCTCTTCCTCCACCTCTTCCTCCACCTCTTCCTCCACCTCCTCCTCCACCTCCTCCTCCACCTCTTCCTCCACCTCTTCCTCCACCTCTTCCTCCACCTCCTCCTCCACCTCTTCCTCCACCTCCTCCTCCACCTCCTCCTCCACCTCTTCCTCCACCTCTTCCTCCACCTCTTCCTCCACCTCCTCCTCCACCTCTTCCTCCACCTCTTCCTCCACCTCTTCCTCCACCTCCTCCACCTCCTCCTCCACCTCCTCCTCCACCTTTTCCTCCACCTCTTTTTCCACCTCCTTCTCCACCTCTTCCTCCACTTCTTCCTCCACTTCTTCCTCCACCTCTTCCTTCACCTCCTCCTCCACCTCCTCCTCCACCTCCTCCTCCACCTCTTCCCCCACCTCTTCCTCCACCTCTTCACCCACCTCATCCTCCACCTCTTCCTCCACCTCCTCCTCCACCTCCTCCTCCACCTCTTCCTCCACCTCTTCCTCCACCTCCTCCTCCACCTCTTCCTCCACCTCCTCTCTCCACCTCCTCCTCCACCTCCTTCCTCCACCTCCTCCTCCACCTCTTCCTCCACTCTTCTCCACCTCTTCCTCCTCCTCTTCCTCCACCTCTTCCTCCACCTCCTCCTCCACCTCCTCCTCCACCTCTTCCTCCACCTCCTCCTCCACCCTCCTCCCCACCTCTTCCTCCTCCTCCACCTCTTCCTCCACCTCTTCCTCCACCTCCTCCTCCACCTCTTCCTCCACCTCCTCCTCCACCTCCTCCTCCACCTCTTCCTCCACCTCCTCCTCCACCTCTTCCTCCACCTCTTCCTCCACCTCTTCCTCCACCTCCTCCTCCACCTCTTCCTCCACCTCCTCCTCCACCTCTTCCTCCACCTCCTCCTCCACCTCCTTCTCCACCTCCTCCTCCACCTCTTCCTCCACCTCCTCCACCTCCTCCTCCACCTCCTCCTCCACCTCTTCCTCCACCTCCTCCTCCACCTCTTCCTCCACCTCTTCCTCCCCTCTTCCTCCACCTCCTCCTCCACCTCTTCCTCCACCTCCACCTCTTCCTCCACCTCCTCCTCCACCTCCTCCTCCACCTCCTCCTCCACCTCTTCCTCCACCTCCTCCTCCACCTCCTCCTCCACCTCTTCCTCCACCTCCTCCTCCACCTCTTCCTCCACCTCCTTCTCCACCTCCTCCTCCACCTCTTCCTCCACCTCTTCCTCCACCTCTTCCTCCATCTCTTCCTCCACCTCCTTCTCCACCTCCTCCTCCACCTCCTCCTCCACCTCCTCCTCCACCTCTTCCTCCACCTCTTCCTCCACCTCCTCCACCTCCTCCTCCACCTCCTCCTCCACCTCTTCCTCCACCTCTTTTTCCACCTCCTTCTCCACCTCCACCTCTTCCTCCACCTCCTCCTCCATCTCTTCCTCCACCTCCTTCTCCACCTCCTCCTCCACCTCTTCCTCCACCTCCTCCTCGCGCCGCAGATGCCGGTGAACGCCACCACGGCGCCGATGCTCGCTCAGCAGCTGCTGCCGTGCATCTCGGCAGCGCCAGGCCTCGCCGACAAGATGGACGTTGTGTTCGTGGCGCAGATGCTGGAAAGTTCACGACGTTTTCGGACCGGAGCAGAGAGGTCTTTCTTCACAATGTGCATCCCATGTCTCACACATCCTATACGTACACATACATACAAATACATTGAAATTCTATACCTGAAATAAAAAAAATAAGCAAATACCATTTGAGTGTTTGCCAGCAGGCATGGGTGGCAGTAAAACAGCAAAAAGAGAGAATGGAACATATATATGACTATATTTGTTTAAAATCCACCAAGCACGTACTCGTCAAAGATAAATAGCGCAGTAAAGTGTGAAAAGCGATGACCCTTTGTGTAAAACAGCAATGTCGAAGAGATGATGTTTCCAAGTCCAGAGAGATGAAAACAACAATGTGATCTCCTTCAAAACAAATCCACAGGTGGGGAAGCAAGGAGAATATTCGACCAGCCGTGTCTAGCAAATCATATTCCCCGAAGATGACAATGCTGTACATATGCTGCTTCTTAAAGGTGCGGATGATAAAGGCATTTTGGGGTATTTTGTGATCGTGCATTTGAAGGGCCGCAGACTGCCTGTGCCTGGAGGCTGCGCACTTCATGAATCTCTGCTGGGCTCCCCTCAAAACTAACTCATTCTGGCCCTGACCGCGGTCCTTCCTGGCTCCTCCCCCCTTAACCAGTATATAAGGTCGTACCTCTTGGGACTTTTCTCCACTTGATCAAGATTTTTTTGCTGTGACAGTTTCACCTGAAGACGGAAGCTTGCTGTTGCCTCCGAAACGTCGTGATTTTATGTGTTTTTATTTTTTTTATTAATTTTAATTAAATTTTTTACCTACGTGACTTTACCGAAAGAACTAAGAGTACGGGTTTGTTTTGTCGCGCAGCTCGGCGAGCTGATCGTGGACATGGCGAGCGCCGCGATGGGTGCCGACGAGGCAGTGCTTGTCGCTGCGCAGGTCGAGGCACGGGCCTGCAGCCGCATCGTGGCCAGCGTGGAGCGCTTCGCTCGCCAGGCTCTGCTCGGGGGGGCCCAGGACTTCAATAAGGTCTCCAGGCGCGCGACACCATCCCTCATTGATGAGCTACTGCCAGGGGTTGGGGCTGCGATTCTGGGCCACTGGGAATTTTTTTTTGTGTACAATTCAGAATTTGTAGCGTGCACGGTTTGTTTCAATCACACTCAGAGAGATAATGAGGCGTGGGAGACCACGGACGAGACCAGGAAGGCAGCCAGAAACGGCAACAACTATTGACCGAGTTGAGCTGCCACAAAAGCAACCCGACTTAACTTTGAAATCCAATCCACAAGAACAATATTTAACGTGTAAATGCAATCACACCTCAAGACGCGTTACAAACTAGACGGAAAAACACACTGACATGAAGGTAGAAGGGGTCTGGGGGAGTCCGGGCAGGGAAACACGGGCGAGAGAAGAGAGAGCAACAGCGCTACCCAGAACACAGTGTTCCCGACCTCGTCAGATCTCTAAAGCTGAGCGGTGTTGAGCCTGGATTCTGCTGGGATGGATGACCACCAGTAATAGGAGACTCGGGGCTTAGTGCTGAGCAGCAGGACACACATGCCATTGGGGGGCCCTCGTCCAACAGTAGACTAACACAAAGGGACTGTACATGTACACATCATGCGTGTTGAACTTCTTTCGCACCACCATACGTAGCCAACCGCGCTAATCGGAGATGCATGTGAGCAGTCGTCACCTCACGCTATCCCACGCTCCATCTCCCTCCTCCCTCCTCCTCTGCAGTTCTCGGCAAACATCGCGATGACCGCCCTGCGCATCAAGCCGTCCAGCTTCTCGGGCCTCACGTGCACGGCGTTCCGCAAGACGGCGAGCTACGACCGCCTCGCGGTGACCGCCCCGCGTGACAGCGCCGGCAGGGAAGCCGCGCCCTTCGCTGCCGACGGCGGTGGCGGCGTCGGCGCCTCTGGAAGCTACAGCGGCAGCGGCGGCTTTGACCAGCAGCTCAGCTTCAAGTGCAACGCGGGAAACCTGACCCACTCGCTGCTCCACTTCCCCGGCAAGGTAGTGGCTGGCACTGGTTAGGCAGACGCACCAGAGGATGTACGTACGCAGGGCAAGGCAGGATACACGATGCAGAAGTCTGGCAGAGCACATGGCGGTATGTTATCTACGTACGTTGATCTTCTCTCCCCACCATGCATAGCCAAGCACGCTATTCAGAGGTGCCCGCAAGAAACAACAGAAACAATGCAGTCCTAAGTAAATGAGTTTTCGATTTAGATGTAAAGTACACACTTCCAACGGGCAGGTGAGTATTGCAGATATGATTTGGTAAAAATTATACTAATACACTGGGTGGGACGTGCGTGCAGGATTGGGGGAGGGCCAAACACAAGCATTGGAGTGGTCTCCATGAGTCCAGTGACCAAGGGCAAGAGAAGACCTAAAGAGCAGATGGCGGGATACCGTTAGGGCAGATTCTAGAGGTCACATGTCCACAGTGTGCAGCACCTGTAGGATTTGGTGGAGGGTAGAAAGAGTTGGCGAGGTGCGGTGGCATCTGTGGCTTTCGTGGTTGGTTTCATCCACCTGAGAAGTTAGAGCAAGCGGAAGGGGGTGGAGGGGGGTCATCGTCGCGAGTGAACGCATCACCGAAACTCACTGCCGAAACGCTTTCTGTCGGGCGCTCCCAGAACACGGTGGCCGAGGCGTCGGTGCAGCTGCCTCCGACGCTGCTGGGCGGCCCAGCGGGGCCCGGCGCGGGCTGGGGTTCCCGCGCGCCGGTGCCCCTCCCCGGCAGCCCCGGAGACAACACCTGCCTCCTGCAGCTGGTGGTCTTCCGCAACGGGCGGCTCTTCCCGCCGGCAGGGAACGCGTCCGACGCGGCCGACGCCGGCCGGCGCAGGGCGGTGGTGACGCCCGTGCTCTACCTCAACATCGGTGGGTGGCTCGATGCGCGAGCTGCGGACATTGTCCTTCCCCCACTGTCGCCGAATGGCCGCGGTTGGCTACGTACGGTGCGAAAGAAGTTCAACGTGCGGACGTTTTAGTGCGGGGTCGATTGTTTAGTTCTGCTGCTCAGTTCTGCAGTGTAACCACAGCTTCGTTTCTCACCGAGGGTTTTCTGCATCGCGTTGGCATGGCGTAGGCCTAGAGGCAGGACCATACAGTGGTCACTGTCAGATGGAGGTATACTAGATGTGGTGTTCCGGGTGCAATACTATTTTCCGGGTTGGTAGCACGGGGTAGGCCTCGAGATGGCACGTGGCTTTGCAGCCTTATACTAGTAGTGTATGGTTCACTATGTAAGTCGGTGAATCTCTACGCTATTTCTATCTCAAATCGTGGACTACACAGTACACCGCAGCCCGTTTTGATCATTCGCCGGCAGCGTTTTGGATATTCACCGCGAGGCTACTCCTGGAGCCGTCCACTGCCTCACTCACCAACGCCGACGTGAACGTACACATGAACTATTTATTTTTATCTCGTGAAAAAATATCGATTTTTAGCTGGGTAACCTCTTTTGCAAGGGTGTCCCGGGGAGTCAAGTGACGCATACAGAACACACGTAACGACACGTACACAAACGCATTTAAATCGACAACATAAACAGTTCACGTTTAGGCAGTGTGAAATGCATATATACAGAGTCAAAAAGTAGGAACATTGCTGCTTAACTGCCCTCCTGAAAAAAGAAACGTCCTCGGACACTCGGCACGTTCATCGATAACATTGCCACAAAAGTAAAAAAAAAGCATAGAACAGGTGACATTTCAGGCATAGCAGGCAGGCTATGAAGAAGACGCAATTGCCAGTGTTATTGACGAATGTTTTGAGTTTTCGTTACCTGTGCTGATGCAGCACTGCCACCGCAGATGGGCAAAACAGAAAAATCTCGTCCACGACTCGATATCTCAGTCCCACTCCTCACCGCGATCCCTCTCCTGCGCTCAGACGGCCTCAGCGCCGACGACCTGGTGGACTGGGTGGCCGTGTCGCTGCGCCGTTTCTCGCCCGGCACGGACCCCGTGGCGGCACTGTGGGACCCCGAGGCCCGGGGCGGGCGCGGAGCCTGGGGCCTGCAGGGCTGCCGGCCTGACGGCTCGGAGGGCAACGTCACCACCCTGCGCTGCGGCCGCCTCGGCAACTACGCCGTGCTCATGGTGCGCGAACCCTGAGCCCCGCGACGTCTTCAAAAACGAAATCAGTGACGAAAATATATGTTCTTTTAGCCACAAGGTGACCATGAGTGGACACCAAGCGTGATGACGACTTGTGACTCCGCACCAAAATCCCAGGCACAACGGTGGGTGAGTTAACATCCCACCACGGTGGCGCGAGATGTTAACTCCCTCGCCTGGTTTTCAGGAGTTTGTGGGTTCGATCCCAACGCTGACTCCTGTATATTTGGAATTTGCATGTTCTCCCCGTGGTCGCGTGGATTTTTCTCCAGGTCCTCCGGTTTTCCCTCCACATTTAAAATAAACACGCGTTTATAGTATTTGACTGCTACAAATTTCCACAAGATAAGCCACTTCGTTCAGCTATCATTTGTGGCCAGGTCACTTTGGAAAAATAGCTATATAGTTCAGTGGGCCTTACCTCGTAAAATCAAAATAGTATAGTTTTAGTTTAGAATGGTTTTCTCTCCGCCATGTGTTCCGGATCTTACCGCGTGTTGTTCTGGATGGTGCCCGACGTTTCGCTCCTCCTCCTGGGCGCTCTTGTTCATGAAACGTTTGCGTCCCGGCGCGAGTCTGTGAGCCTCTGTGCAAGTCAATTGGTGTCTACACGAGTCTTGAGGCTCTCGATGTGAAGCTGGTGGTCTATACCTCTGTGTAGCTGTTGAGTGTGCAGGCAGTGCAACTGCACCAGAGCCCATGGGCTGGAGGGGGCACCAGGCACCGGGCTACAAGATACGATTGGGGGAGGTGGGCGGTAGGGATCAGACAGGGGACCCCATTTCATTCCTCAGCTCCAGGGCCCATGCTAGCAATGTTACGCGGCTGACTTCACTGCTCAAACACCGTGGCGCTCATCGAGCCTGACGAACGTTCCTCTAGGGCTCAGTCAGTGGAGCAGCTTGTGAGTGTCGCAGACGGCGCATTTGCACCAGAGGTCGCAACCGGGTACCCGATACCCGTACCCTACCCGATACCCGGCTACCCGTACCCAGCCGGGTATGGGTACGGGTAGCCGTTTACGACCCTGGTGCGGCCGGGTACGGGTAGGCCGTGAGTCACTGGTGAGTAACCGTTTGTCACTCATTTCGGGTAGGGTACGGGTACGGGTAGGGAACGGGTACCCGTACCCGGCTGGGTACGGGTACGGGTACCCATTTGCGACCCTGGTGCGGCCGGGTACGGGTAAGGAATCAAAACCCGTTTGCTACCTCTGATTTGCACCGGGGACCCCACGTTCCAGCGGGGGTCATAGGGCCGCCGGGCTACGAAAACGGCCGGAATTTGGACACGAGTGACACGTCGCCTTGCCGACGCGACGCGACCGTCCGTGCGTTTTGTGCCCGCAGGACGTGGTGGCGGCCGGCGCAGGGGAGCAGGCGGCAGTGCGGCTGCTCCACCCGGCCGTGTACGTGTGCTCGGCCCTGCTGCTGCTGTGCCTGCTCGCGCTGATCACCACCTACGTCCTGCATCACAGGTGCGGCCGACAACTTTGCTGCTGTGCGAGTGTTGATGCCACGAGCGTTATTGTGGCAGGTATTGTTGGGCAGCAGGGTGGTGCAGTAGAGATGTTAACTGCCTCGCCTGGTCTGCAGGAGGTCGTGGGTTCGATCCAAACCCTGACGCCTGCATATTTGGAGTTTGCGTGTCTCTCTCCCCGTGGTCGCGTGGAATTTTCTCTGGGTCCTTTGGTTTTTCCCTTTAAATTTAAATGCATTTAGAATATTTGGCTGCTCTTTCCACATGATAAGCCACTTCGTTGAGCTATTATTTGTGTCCAGGTCACTGAAAAAGAGCTATATAGTAAAGTGAGCGTTACCTGGTAAAATAAAAATAGTTAATAAGGGCCTGAGTTCGATTCCTAATTCGGGCGCCTTTCTGCATGGAGCTTGTATGCTCTCCCCCACTGTTGTTCATGGGTTTTCTCCGGATTCTCCAGTTTCCTCCTATAGCCTAAAAAAATGCAATATTACGTAACTAGTATTGGCTAAAAAAAATTCAATACTGAATATGTAACTGTTAATTACTTAATTGGGATTACATACAGCAGCAGTAACATCGCCCACTACTGCAAATACTCGGCAGGACCCTCCTGAAAAAGATTCTTGAGACTTGGCAAGGTTTTTCAAAGGATGCTGTTATTGTTGTAACTTGTAGCATACAGCCCATGTGTAGTGATGCACTCAGAGACACTCGGAGTAGGATGCACTCAATTTATTAACAGCCTTCCACTCCAAGCAACAGCCCCGAGCCTTCCCTCGGGGTCCCCTTTTATCCTCCCGGCATGGCCTCGCACCGCCCCGGCCACGCGACCCTCCTAGAACCTACTAGTGAGTTCCTGGGCTTACCTCACGTGCCCCCTCTATCACCTGTGCCCTACATCTCTCTCTCCGGCTTATCACGTGACCTGCTGACAGACAGGGCTGCTGCAACTGCAAATCCCCTTATCTGCCAGCAACCCGCGCTTTGCTACGTAGTGACCCATTCCATGTCACTACACACGTGTCAATCCAGGACTGGATGAAGGCCTCCACACACCATGTCGGCCATCTTGGTTGTGTGACCTTCCTCACCTGGCTACTCAGTGTGGTGGGTGGGTGGTGGTGGGTGAGTGGTGGGTGGGTGAGTGAGTGGGTGGGTGAGTGAGTGAGTGGGTGGGTGAGTGGGTGGGTGGGTGAGTGGGTGGGTGAGTGGGTGGGTGGGTGAGTGGGTGAGTGGGTGAGTGGGTGGGTGAGTGGGTGGGTGGGTGGGTGAGTGGGTGGGTGGGTGAGTGGGTGGGTGGGTGGGTGAGTGGGTGGGTGGGTGGGTGGGTGGGTGGGTGGGTGAGTGGGTGGGTGGGTGGGTGAGTGGGTGGGTGAGTGGGTGGGTGGGTGAATGGGTGGGTGAGTGGGTGGGTGAGTGGGTGGGTGAGTGGGTGGGTGGGTGGGTGAGTGGGTGAGTGGGTGGTTGAGTGGGTGGGTGGGTGGGTGAGTGGGTGGGTGGGTGAGTGGGTGGGTGGGTGGGTGAGTGGGTGAGTGGGTGGGTGGGTGAGTGGGGTGGGTGGGTGGGTGGGTGGGTGAGTGGGTGGGTGGGTGAGTGGGTGGGTGAGTGGGTGGGTGGGTGAGTGAGTGGGTGAGTGGGTGGGTGGTTGAGTGGGTGGTGGTTGAGTGGTGGGTGGGTGTCTGGTGAGTGGGTGGGTGTGTGGTTTTAGTGGGTGGTGGGTGAGTGGGTGGGTGAGTGGGTGGGTGGGTTAGTTTGTGGGGGTGTTCGTGGTTTAGTGGTTGGTGGGTGAGTGGGTGAGTGGGTGGGTGGTGAGTGGGTGAGTGGGTGTGGGTGAGTGGGTGTGGGTGAGTGGGTGGGTTGAGTGGGTGGGTGGGTGGGTTGGGTGGTTTAGTGGGGGGGTGGGTGTGGTGGGTGGTGAGTGGGTGGGTGGGTGAGTGGGTGGGTGGGTGAGTTGGTGGGTGGTGGGTGAGTGGGTGGAGTGGGTGTGTGTGGTGAGTGGGTGAATGGGTTGGGTGGGTTAGTGGGTGGGTGGGTGAGTGGGTGGGTGAGTGGGTGGGTGGTTGAGTGGGTGGGCGGTTTCAGATATCACTCGCCACTTATGTTCGCCGTGGCCTGGAATCAAACTCAGGGCTGGGAATCGAACTCAGGTCGCCGACTTCATAGCGCAATGCGATTACCGCTCCACCCCAGGTGCTGCGATGGCCTCACTCTTAGGCCCCAGTCTCTATGTGTTTGCTCAGCCAAGTCCTGATGCCAGGAGCTTCACGCACTCACTTTGTACAGACGTCTTGGCCCAATATTGTCATTATTGTCAATGAATCGTCATTGTCAGAATCAATAATCGTCATTCATAATAATCATCATGAACCACCTTCATCATAAATCCATTATTTTCATCAATGCTCATGGTGAACATAGTAATTGTAGTGGTGGCAGTGGGTCTGCTAGTGGCGGCGGTGGCACTGTCCATGGGTACAGGGGGTGATTGTGACCATCACAGTTCCGCTTCACTTGGCATCTACATTTTAGTGTTAGTCTCATCGTATCGTCTGCTCGTCTTGTCGAGCCAGATGACAGAGCCCCCGAGTTCCACCGCCGGGTCCGGTCAGGGGGCGGCACTCGTCACAGGGTCTGTCACTGACCCACACACCGCAGAGTGGCCTGTTGCAGCGTGGGCCCCAGGTGCCGAGGTTGGCTGCACACAAACCCTAAGCCAGTACAGAACTTGTCGCGTCTAAATGTAGCTGCTACTCAAGACGCCGAACACGTCACGGGTAGAACACACTGTGTATACTACACTTAAGACACTTGGCAGATGAAGAGGCAGGCATAGGCAGAAGAGGTGCGCGTGCGTGTGTGTAGTATTGAGTGTGGGGAGCGGTGGTGTAGCGGTTAGTGCTACGCTGCGCTATGAACCCAGTGACGATTATCTGAACCGGTCCTAGGCCTCCCCTAGGTCGACTCAGCCTCAAATGAGTACCTGGTGCGGTGTGTAAAACATCGCCACGAGGGAGACAAAGGCGGCCGGGCACGGTATTGGCCATCCACCCCATCGTGTGCCATACCGACCTTCATAGGTGCTACTCGCTAACAGCACTTGCCCCAAAAGTCTGTTCAGGCTTTACGGGGAATCTTTGTCTTTGTGGTGGTGAGTCACTGTGTCTGGAAGGTAATTATGTCGAGGGTTAGCCACCGTGCTACAAACCCGGTGACCCCCCCCCCCCATCACGGCCAATATCAGTGAACCGGTTGCGGGCAGCTCGGCTTTTAATGAGTACTTGTAAACATCACCACTCTGGAGACAAAGACGGCCGGGCGTGATGCTTGCCACTGCACCCCGTCGTGCCACGGCATTGACCTTCGTAGGTGCTCGCTGACACAGCGCTTGCCCCAGCTGTTAATTCTTAAGGCGACGTGGAGAGAGTTCCCGATCCTTTGTGTTTTGTGTGCTCAGGGTGATCCGCGTTGGCCACAAGAGCTGGCACATGCTGCTGAGCCTGTGGCTGCACCTGGCTCTCGGCACAGCCATCTTCGCGGGAGGCATCAACCGCACGCAGCCCGCCGTCGTCTGCCAGGCCGTGAGTGGGCGCGATCGTCTGTCCGGCTTTATTTCGCTCTGCGTGCGTGGCTTTCACTCTCATTTCGTTTGTCCCTGTTGAAGATTTTTTCAAAGAGAGAGGGAGAGAGATGCTGTTTACGATTGAAGTTGGTCTATAATTAATGATGATGATGATAATTATGATTAGCCCCCAAAACCCCACACAGTGTAGGGAGGCTTTCATCCAGCAGTGGATTGACAAAGTGCCATATGGATGAAGGCCTCTGTTACGGAGTTTGTTTGACCGTACTTCACCACGAATGTCATTTGCGGTTTGGTGAACGTGGTGGCAGCCCAGGACCAGTTCAGATACCGCTCATCGCTGATGGGGACCGTGGCCAGGAAATGAACCAAGGTCTCGAGTCACTGCTCCGAATATCTAACCCATGTGCGTCGTGGCTTCGACTGGAGTTAATGTCTCGTGATTCTCTGCGGGAGATTGACCACGGCATCTCTGTATGTTGAAACGTCTTTCGCACCGTACGTAGCCAAGCGTGCTACGTACGGTGCGGGAGAAGGACAACGAACTAAACGCAAAAAGCTGTTCTACAGAAATTCGTTTTCAATTTTAGATTTAAAGTGCATAGCTCCAGTGCCTTACCTACTATCAGAAGGAAGAGCGTTCCAGGTGGTTGCAGAAGCACATCTGAAAGTGCGCGATGCAGTGACCGTCTTTGTTCGACGGTTAGCCAAAAGCCACTGCCAGGATGACCGTAGTTTATGTGATGGTTTACACTCCTTGACGATATCAGCATGGCATTGTGGTTCCTTTGTGGCAAGCACTGTGTGCGAATGAGTGCGGCTTCATGACGTGTTCGTTCGGCAACCAGAAGCTAATGCAGCTCGGCGAGCACTGGACAGACCCGTCAAGGCAGCACTGACCACGTGATCCTTGCTTCAACTAGAGCAAGGGGTGGGGAACCTTTTTTCTGCCAAGGGCCATTTGGATATTTAAACATCATTCGCGGGCCATACAAAATTATCAACTTAAAAATTAGCCTGTTATATTTGGTCAAACATTTGATTAACTCACCCCTAATGTGATGGGCAGGAACTGCTTCTCTTTGGCGAGGCGTGTGATGTTAGCTCGTATTGATGATGTTGCTACTCGCAACTGCTTTTCCAGGCTTTGCTTCCTAGATTTATTGAATTTCGAGTCCCTGTCCTGCGGTTGCCTTGGCAGGGCCAGACCAAATGATTTCACGGGCCTTACACGGCCCGCGGGCCGGACGTTCCCCACCCCTGAACTAGAGGGACAATAGACTCCGTTCAGTGGCCTAGCACGGTCAGCATCGGCGCTGGTGAAAGGAGCAAAATGGGGGGGGGGGGGGGGGATACCCTCGTAAAATCTCGTCCCTCGTCGTAACCCCGACGGCCGAGCCCCGTCTGCCCCGTGGGCCCTGCTACAATCGCGCGCCGCCCGCTCGCTCGATGGCTACGCTGGCACCGTCCGTTGACGCGCGTCGTCGTCATTGTCGTCATTGTCGTACGGGTGCCAGGTGGGCATCGCGCTGCACTACGCATCGCTCGCGTCGCTGCTGTGGCTTGGAATCCTGGCGCGGAACCTGTGCAAGCAGCTGCGTGGCTGGAGGGCGCCGCCCCAGGCCGGAGACGCCGCGCCGGGCCCGCAGCCCCGGCCCATGCTCCGGTACGTTGGGACGTGAGCCACGAGCGGCGGGCGGTGAGGCGAGCTCGGCCCAACAAAGACAAGGCAAATCGCCAACGTCACCGCTCCGTTGCTCTCAATAGGGGTGCCGCAGTGGCGGGATGTTAACTACTTCGCCTGGTATACAGGAAGTCGTAGGGTTTAGATCCCGACCCTGACGCTTGCTGTATATTTGGAGTTTGTGTGTTCTCGTCGTGGTCGTGTGGATTTTTCTCTGGGTCCTCCGGGTTTTCCCTCCCTATTTAGAAATGTGCATTTAGAGTATTTGACTGATATGAATTTCCACGGGATAAGCCACTTCGTTGGACTATCAATTGTGGCCAGGTCACTTCAGTGGGCCTTACCTGGTAAAATAAAAAATAGTTTAAATTATCACTGCAATTGAGTATTCTGGCTGATTTGGTCAGATTTTTAGCTGTCTTCCAACCAGACGTCCAGCTCTGTTTGAGAACATTCGCACTTTGTCAAATGATATGCATCCAAAGCATGATGGGAGTTGCGTCTTCCAGCTGTACGTGAACGCACCTTTGTGTGTCGTTAAATCTGTCATCAGGTCTCGGTAGCTTAGCAGCATTGAGCCGAGATGGTGCTTGAATGGGTGGCTACCAACAATTAAACAGCTCTGGGGTTGTCGGCAGCAGAGGGCAGTTGCAGCTAAATTAATTGTTGCACTGTACTTCTATGGTGCCTCATCTGTGCTCCTTGCCTTCACCAACCCATACTGATCAGCGTGGTGAAGTATGGTCATTTCTACCCCATGACCCAGGGACTCTCTATATATAATTGTACAATTCCGAGATGCTCCATTTCATTGACACGTTTATTTACACAGCAATTCCTTTTGAAATCCAAGTGTTTAATCAAGTGATTGCGATTTGGTATGCTATCTGGATTGAATACAATGCAGGTTGTTACACACCGTCCATCCGTGCTTGTAAGCCGATCCACAGGGCCACTTTATCAGCGATACCGTCTCCCCCCCCCGCACACTCTGCGGGCAGCACCACCATCTGTCACAACACGGCCCGTGCCAGCGAGCGCTACATCTATCGCTCGTAATCAGAATCTTTCGCGCGCGTTCCACGTTGCGGGCAGCCGTCGGCCAGGGCCAGCGGTGCTTTGAATTGCGCCCCGTTAACGGTGCCCCTTTGCTTTGCTCAGGTTTTATCTGATCGGAGGAGGAATTCCCATCATCATATGCGGCATCACGGCGGCGGCGAACATCAAAAACTACGGCAGCACCGACAGCTCTCCCTAGTGAGTGGCTCCGTGTTGGCGCACGGCGTCGCGTGGGAATGTGCGTTCCACGGAAAGCATTGTCCATTTCGCCCGACTTACATGGCGGCGAGATGTTAACTACGTTGCTTGGTATACAGGAGGTCGTGGGTTCGATTCAGACCCCGACGCCTGTTTATTTGACATTTTCATGTCTCTCTCCCCGTGGTCGCGTGGATTTTTCTCCAGGTCCTCCGGTTTTTCCCTCCACATTAGAAACGTGCGTTTAGATTATTTTGCTGCTATAAATTTCCACACGATAAGCCACTTTGTTGAGCTATCATTTGTGGCGAGGTCACTTCTGAAAAAGAGCTGTATAGCTCAGTGGGCTTTATCTGGTAAAATAAGCTGGCGGTTACTTAGGAATGTGACGATCGATTTGTCTATTATTATCGATACCTACGTTCACAATGCAAGCTCAGGATTGGGTTGGCTAAATGCCAGCTTTGAGAATGAAACATATCAGCTTGACTGTCATGCAAAGAGCATTGCTGTCAGTGGCAGAGCAAGTGGGAAAGTGCTGCCCCCCTACCGTACGGACCAGAGAGATCACTTGAAGGGATCTCAGAAGTAGTTCCGGCATATCTGCTTCTCCGGGCCATTTTCGAACGAGAAGTTTTGGCCTGCTCTGTAAGGGACCTGAATTGATTCGGACTGATTACATCATTCCATGAGCACCATTGAGATAGCATTGGGAATCAATACAATCATACAAAGTTTTTACGTGTTAAAATGTTATGTGTTCCCATTGTTATTCACACCTTTCTAATGGCACATAGGCTATGATGTAACCTCAGTAACTACTAGAAGCACTACATTAACAACAACGTTGAAAATAACTGTTGCTTATCACTCAAATTGTTAACGAAAAACTTAAACGATTTATTGAATCTTTACACACGTAATGGTCACCTTATAAACATTGATTGAAGCCTGTCCTTCTTCCGCATTGTTTGCTTTCCACTTGCGAAGCTGCTGGATGGCGTGGGAGCCCAGCCTTGGAGCCTTCTACGGCCCCGCAGCCTTCGTCACTGCCATCGCGTGCATCTACTTCTCCTGCGCGCTCGCCCGCCTGCGCAGGATGCGCTCTCGATGCAAACGTGAGGCCCTGAAGGAGTCGCAGGCCATCGGCGGCGCCACCACCGTCATCGCCGTCGCCAACGGCAGGGACAACGACAACAATGAAGAGGAGAAAGAACGGGGCGGCTGTGGCCCGGTCGGCCCGGTGAGCCTGCCGGAGCAGGCCCTCGCTCGCCCCGAAGCGACGGACTCGGCGTCGGCGTCGCAAGCGGAGGCGCCGGCCGAGGCGCCGGAGGACGAGCTGCCGCCGGGGGCGCGCCTCGCGGGGCTTGCCGGCACGTTCCTCGCGGCGACGGCCGCCTGGGCCTTCGGGGCGCTGGCCGTCGCTCACCGGGACGGGAGGGTCGAGTCACACGCGTACGCGGCGCTCTACGCCGCCTCCACGACGGCGCTCGGCCTCTTCCTGCTGGCGCACCACGGCGCGCGGCGCAGGGACGTGTGGCAGTGCTGGCGCGCGCGCTGCCCCCGGCGGGCCCCCGGGCGCGACTACACGCTGCAGCTAGGCACCGGCTCCAGGCTGCCGTCCGGGACGTCGCTCACCATCAACGGCTCGGGCCCCGCCACCGGATGCGGCAGCGGCGATTCGTCGGTGGCCGAGAAGTCCCACTCCACCGCAACCAACGGCAGCAAGCTGACCAACCTGCAGGTGACCTGCGCTCCTCTTGCCGCGGCGTCGCTTTCCTCTCTCTGCCTCTCTGCCTGTGATTCTTGATAACGCGCCCTCGTGTGTTTCACTTGGAGCGTCGGCACGGTGGGTGGCGCACTGGACGACGTTGTGGCAATGGCAGTGTCTCGATGTGGAACGTTCATTTGCAGACAAAGCCACAAACGGGGCAAACTATGTTTCACGTGTTTGTCCAGCAGACAAGTTAAATATGGATTTTGGTTCAAATCCATGATAAAAGTTGAGGAAGTGGTTAGCGAATTGCGTTCAGAACCCACCGGACCTGACATCTGTGGCAAATGATAACTGAACCAGTTCTTGGCCTCTCCCTTCATCAACCTGCTACTGACCAGTGTGATATGATCAACAAACCCCGTGACCGATGGGGAAGCCCTCATAAATCAGCGTATTGACAGAGGGTCGTACACGAATGGAATGAGATGTTTAATAATATTTTTGTGTTCCTACTCTTAGTTTTTTTCGGTAAAGTCACGTAGGTAAAAAAATAAAATTACTAAAAGTAATAATAGAAATAAAATAAAATAATAAATCACGACGTTTCGGAGGCAACACAAGTCTCCGTCATCAGGTGGGACCGTCACAGCTAAAATTACTGCATCAAGTGAGGCAAAATTCCAAGAGACCGGCCCTTAAATACAAGTTAAGGGGGGAGGGGCTTATCTGAATGTGGTAACCAGTGAATGGAACGTGGGGGTGGTGGGCGGGGCTACAAGAGAAATTGGCAAACGTCGTCAATGTGCAAGAGAACAATCAAATCTATAATTTTGTGCTCCTCTTTGTGCCATCTCACCGACCGTAGGTGGCGCGGAGCCGAGGCCTGGCACCGATGGCGCCTTTGCCCTGCGACGCCAACAGCCTCACGGAGCACTCCATCGACCGCGACCTCAACATGCACGTCGTTCCCGTAGAGTGCGCCATGGCGGCCGCGGCGTCTGCGGCGGCGGTGCAGGGAGGGCAGCACAGAGCCAGCGGCAATGGGCACGCCGGGCGCCACTCGGGCGCGAGATCCGGAGGCGGCAGCCGCTCCAGGGCGGGCGGCAACAGCGGCGGCGGTGGCGGCGGCAGCTCGCTGTCCCACGGGCAGCAGCAGACGCAGGCGCAGAAGCAGAGGGCCAGCCGACTGGCCGTGCTGCGCGAGTACGCGTACGACGTGCCGACCAGCGTCGACGGCGAGGAGAGCGGCGACCGCGCCGCGGTCGGCGGCGCCGCTCTCGCGGCCGGCGGCGACCAGGACGGCCACCGGGACCGCAGCGGCGCCGCCGCTGCGGCCCCGGCGGCGGCCGCGGCGGCGGCCAGAGCGACGGCGCCGACGTCGGCATCGCTCGCAAGCCACGGCAGGAGCCGCAGGTGCCGGCTGAAGACGCGGGCGAGGGCCAGGGCTTCGAGCGAGGCGCTGCAGGCCACGGGCGTCGACGCCAGGCCCGGCGCGGCGGCCACCGGACTGAGCCAGCAGGAGAGCAGTGACAACGCGAGCACGCTGCCGTGCAGGAGCAGCGACGAGGGCAGCGGACGGTCGGGCCAGCTGGCAGAGTGGCCGCTCCGCTCGCCCTCGTCCACCGAGGCGGTGGACCGGGCGCCGGGAGGGGGAGGAGGGGGAGCACCGGCTACAACATCCGACAGAACCATCACCATCGAGCTGGGCACGCGGGAGCGGCGCTCGCACGGCCTCAACCTGGCGAGCCAGAACGGAGCGCTTCAGGGGAGCCGGCAGAGCATCGGCCTGCTCAGCTCCGACAGCATGGCCAGCGTGCGGACTGGCCACTGGAAGAACGAGACCACCGTGTAGCGTCACGCGCGTGTGCGAAAACGCCCGTGCACACGTTAAATCAGTGTGCGAGCGTGCTCGTGCCTATGTGCGCGTGTGTGTGTTTTCACATATATATGCACGATGCGCAAGTTTGTGTACAGTGTGTTATGTACGTTACAGGAACTTCTTCGTTGTAATATAGAGTTTGTCACTTTGGGTTTTCAGTCTGTTTTTACCACTTGCACACAAGTTGTTCGGTGGCGCTCGAGAGACGTGATGAAGACGTCGGCGTGAACCTCTCCTTGTTGTCTCCGGGTCGTTTTTGCCGCTGCAGCCCCCACTCGCAAACCCTCCAGCGCCCGTTGTCATCGTCTGCGTACAAAGACCAAAGATGCACTTAGACTATTTCATTTGTTGCAATCGCGACGTTTTTTTATTTAAAGAAGAAACGGCCGTTCAGATCCTCCAAGTGCCTTACGAGAAAAACTTCAACGATGCTGCAAAGTTTTTGTCAAGTTTGTCACGACGTATAGCAGGGTTGAGCTCTTTAGCTCGTGGACTAAATGATTACCGCAGCAGTATTGCAATTGTTTCGTTGTGTTTAAGAGAAATGTCTGTGTGAATAGCTACGCATTCGGAATCGATGACCGAAAGTCACACTTTTTTACCGATGCTGAACATTAGCAAATGAATTTATTACGAGAACAAATGAATATCGAAGCTTGTGAAACAAGAGCGGAATCATTTGAGACACGGGGGACCGAACAGCACGTGCAGGCGCTGTCACCTGAATGCGTCACTCCTCTGCGGTTTTCTTTTCTTTGAAATAAGCACTCGTCAACAAATCTGCTGCTGAAGACTCTTCGCAATACGGACTCTGCGCGGCCGCCTGTTCCGCCGATCGCGTGTGCGCCCGTCGCTGGATTCCACAACAGCCGCTCCAGAGTTGCTTTTCAAAGCACGGGGCGGTGCGGTCGTCGAAACTCAACATTGCCCGCCTGTGAACACTTCGCGCGCCCGAAAGTGAGGAAAGCGATCAACGAAAACCCAAGAAGCGCGAGGGTGAGACGTCGCGTGTCGAGGCTGAAGACAATCAGTGGAGGTGTTGGCGAAGGACCGCGTGCGACGCCCCTCAATCCTTAGTTCGGGGTGTCGTGGTGACCCACTATTCTCCGCCTTTCCACGTCGTTTACTGATCTCCGTTCGATGACAGATGAAGTCACTTACAAGCTGCGTGCGCCTGATGATTGGTAAAAACGTTATTCAGAGAGCGCCAACTCAGATCGGGATGGACATGGGTTTGTGCATTGAGCGTGCATTTGTACAGTGCCGGATTAAACTAGTACGGGACCTGTAGCATATGTTATACAGGGGCCCTAAATAAAAAAAAAAACTTTAATAATTAAAACACATATTTAACTCGCATAGTAAAGTAATTGTTTTTTTGCATTTGCTACAAAGCCAGAAAATACGACAAATCGCTAACCTTAAACACCCAGTCGTTCGTAAAAGTTGAAGGCGGTATAGTACTACAGTAATAGAGCAAGCGCAGAGTCACTGACTCGGAATTGATAGCTTGAAAGCATTTGGCGCGGGGCCCTTGACAGTGCGGGGCCCGTAGCATATGTAGCTACTTGTGCTACTATGATAATCCGGCACTGCATTTGTGTTCCCCGTGACAAAGAGAGCTCTGAATAAAATTAAGATAAGAGGTCATGTGTGTGTGCGTCCGACGTGACGTAGAGGACACCGCTTCAGATTAACAGCAAGCAGACAATACGTCTCGTTCACGTATCCCTTTTTCCGTGTTAAAATGTCAGAGTATTTCTCAGCCGCACAGCCTTGTCGGAGTGCATGATTTCAGCTGCGTTGTTTCGAGACGAGCAAACTCTGGGCCGGTTTCGACGCACAGTGTCTCATCAGCAGAGTCGGGCTTATTTTGAGATATGCATCAACTTAAAGGCTGTTTTTACTTCACACGGGAGACAAACAACAAAGACAAAGATCCCCCGTATAGCCTTAACAGACTGTAGGGGCAAGTGCTGTTAGTGAGCACCTATGAAGGCCGGCACGGGACACGAGGGAGTGGGTGGCCAGCACCACGCCCGACAGCCTTTGTCTCCCTCGTGGAGATGTTTACACACAGCACCAGGTACTCATTTGCGGCTGAGTCGACCTCGGGGAGACCCACAGCCGGTTTAGATAATCGTCACCTGGTGTTGGCTGTGAGCGGGAATCAAACTCGGGCCGCTGGGTTTTGTAGCACAGAGCGCTGCCGCTGCGTGAGAGGCACACACATGCGACTTAAATTGCACATTATCTCCATTGTTACTCTTAGGTTATTTCGGTAAAGTCACGTAGGTAAAAATAAATAATAATAATAAATAATAGAAATAATAGAAATAAAATAATTCTTACAAAATAATTATTTTATTATTATTGCATTAATACTAATTATTTTATTCATATTATTATTTCTATTATTTAAATAATGTATTTATTATTTATTTATTTCCTACGTGGCTTTACCGAAAAAACCTAAGAGTATGAATACTTGCAGTCACGAAAGCTTCAAATCGAGAATCTCCATTGTTATTTGAATTGGCCCTTTCTTCGTCACGTGGGCGTGTTCACCAATCATCAGACGCGTGCAGCGTGGAACGACTTGTATGTGAAGGGAGTGTTCGAAGGGGGGAAGATTGGTGTTCATGGAAAAATGTGAACAGTGGGTCACGGGGACATGAATTTGAGAAACCCTGCCTTAGTTAAATGCATGATATGAAGGAACCCTTTTAATGTACGGCACTGTGTGCGTTAGGCACTCGCCAGTATTTGCAATAGAATTAAAACCGATACGCGATGATTCGTGCTGTGGAAATTGTGCAGTAGGATCTAAATGAATTGGGGAATCCAAATGTGATGGAGGGATGGATGGTATTATCCTTGTTGCTGTGGAGAAGATCACCTACCTGTTTATGCAAAGTCAGTCGTTTAATGGTACTTACAAAAAAGAGTGGGAAGGAAATGAGCACGAAACGCGTCAGTGGTATATTCACAGTTCGGCAGTGTTGCCCCTGTGCCGTCATTTTTTTGTTTCCCCTGTTTAAACAAATAATTTAATATATAATTCATAAATTAACATTCAGTCTACTTTGTCCTTTTTTTTGTTAAGCATGATAAATCTCCTTTAAGCTGCATTCGGTGTTGTATTTAATTGCCGTGTAATTGTAAGAAATAAAAGCATTATTTTTGAAACTTTACGAAAACACATTCTCAAAAGGCCTCTCCATTTGTGCGCACACGCCAAATCCACCTCTCAGCGAGCATGCCGCTCTGCCCTGCTTGTTAGTGCTGAGTGGCAGCCCGGCGATAATTGGGGCTATTATCCAGCCAACAAAACGTGTCGGTGGCTCACAACAAGTTTGCTGCTGGTCGAGCAGGATAATGTATGGCATGGCAGGTGCGCTCAGGCTGTGTGGACCACCACTGGTATCCATTGGCTTGGGCATGGGGTTGGTAGATCGTGCATAGATTGAGCATTGTTGTGCCTGGAACACACCCTTGCAGGTTAACGACGTGCGTGCAGGATTTGGCCCAACAAGTGTGTGTCTGATGTATCAGTCCAGCGTTTACATCTTACTTCCTACTACGCACGGGTTTTATCCGAGTACCTTACTTTTGCAAAAGTATCCAAGAAATTTGCCAAACATTCCAGAGCAGGACCTTCTTTTAAAAAAAAAAACTTCTTGAGACTCAGGCTTTCTTGGGTATATAAAGAATTGTAACTTATTCAGTTGCGAGCAGTGGGGAATTGCAAAGGAGGTATGTGGTAGGGAGAGAGAGAGAGGGCATGGCTTTTTAAAAGGACCTCTCTCCCCCCCTCCCTGGCTGCTGCTTCTATTGTTCATGGTTCATCTTTTTTTGGCCCGTAGCAAATTGTGGTAATTACATGCATGTTAAGACCTAACCACATGCAGATTGTTACGAGAAAACATATAAGGTTTTTTTTCATACTGTACTTTCAACCCTGTACCTTTCGCATGCATGCTGAAGATTTAAAATATATCTTTACAAAAAACGTTTACGTTTAAAATAGTTATGACACTACAAATGCAGCACCAATATATATGCCATCCTGAAAGTTCACCATAAGCTTTCTAAAAAAATCTCTTTCCTACCATATAAATGTGGAATCCCACCACTGGATCAGGGAAAGTCAATGGTGAGAAGCAGCATGCAATGCTCACCAGTGCACGGGCGAAACGCTGCCTTTTGACTCTTTACATTTTTTGGCCGTAAATTATGCGCGACAGCAAGCAATGCACGGCTGTGTATTTGGATCGGTCAAACACGTGGCCGCGTGGGGTGCAGTGCGGGGTAACAGGCGGTGTTTTGTGCGTCGGCATGACAGGCTGACCCTGGGAGGCAGCACGCTGTAGTGGCCATGGCCACCCTAGGGAGTGGAGGGAAAAGCAGTTGGGGGAGGTGGCGGGAGTGGCGGCTTGCATGAAACGTCCCCTTCATTCAAGGTCCAAGGGATATGAAAGTTAAGTTGCACTTAATAATGCATTTTGAGAAAAAAGCCCCCCCCCCCCCCGTTTGACTGCTTGTTTGTGTACGCGAGCATGTGTGTTCGTGCGTGAGAGAGTGTGTGGATGTAGGCCCTTGGAAGAGCTACTTGAATGGCTCTGCCGTGGCATTTCCGCGGGGCTGAATTGGCCCATTAAGGGCCAGTGTAGCTGCCCTTCACCCACCCACTCACCCCACCCACCCAACTGAACCGAAGATTGCAGGAGTCCTGGGGATGGCTGACGTCACACACTCTAGTCAAGGTCACGTACAATTGCCATCTTCTGCTAACTCCTCAGCGGGGACTCTAATTCAGTTGTTTGTTCCTGCCTGGGTCTGCGATACAGTATTACAAAAATATATGACGTTACATGCCTGATAAGTGAGTTTGCCACCCCCACCCACCCCGTTGCTCAACGGCCAAAGTTTTATTTTTCTTATTATTGATTTTCCAACCAAATAATCCATGGTTCCTGCCCTGCGCTACAAACCTGGAATCATCAGCGCGTTATCTGGATCGTTCCTGAGCTCACATTGGCCAGCGTGGTTAGGACTGGTAAAACAACCCTATGACCGCGACATGGAATGGGGAGACCTTAATTCAGCAGTGGACTGTGCCTTGTCAATGTCAAGTAATCGATGATCATATTTTGTAGGTGCAAACTGATCCACAAGTGCACGTGTGCCGCACTGATTATTTGGCCAATGCAAAGCGGAAATGTTGCGGAAGGAAATCATAATAAACGGGCAAGGTCTCCATGTTTTCTCGACCGTGATGGACGGGAAGGCTGGCTCCCAGCGTGAAGCAGACATTTGCACTCGTTCATCAGGGGCCTATTGTGTGAGCGGTCTGAGGAGGTAGGGATGAGGTCAAAGGTCGGTGATGTCTGTCTCACACTTCAGGAAAAGCAGGTGGTTTGCAAGAACTTTCGTGTAAGTATTTCCCCCCCCCCATTTTATTCCTGCAGCTTCCCACCATTTTATTATTTTTTGTTAATTTACCCTCTGGCCTGGAGCCCAGAAATCAGTAAAATAACTTGTTTGTCTGCTCTGTTCTCGTCAGAGGTTTTTCTAATCAGCCTTGCTGTTCCTTTTTTTCCATTAATTCACTCAAAGTCTAGCCACAGAGAAAAAAACACTCCTGTCAGGGGCAATTGCGCAACTGCTTCATTAGTCCATGAAAGAGGAAGGGGGTTTATTTATATATTTACCCACTTATATAACTTTATAGCCTGGTCCTACTGCCAGGGATATAAGCACCAGTCCCCATCCCACTTGCTCAAGTGGCTAACCATGCAGGTGGTAGGATTTGGGTGGAAGCCAGCCAGCCTCACGATGTGCCCCATGCACTGCTTGTGAGCCCGGATGTTACTGCTCGACCACACAGATGCATAATGACTACCGTGTTTGAGTTAAGCCCAGCCCCTCTAAGATGGTCGGCTGGGGGGGGGGGCTGGAGAGGACTGTGTTACCCTTGCTGAAGACTCATCCCTGTTCAATATATAACACCTCCGATTAGGAATGAATGAATTAACACGGTTGGCTACGTACGGTGCGAAAGAAGTTTAAGATACACCAGTGGCAGTTTATATTAAAAGTTCTCCAGTTCGGTATATTGTTTTAAACCTCAACACATTCATAAATATTGAATTATTTCAAAAAGCTTTACTCTTTCTGGCATAATGACATTATGAAGGGATTGAATAATATATTGATACTGGCAAAAAGGTCATATAGCTACATTCATCAATCACACTGCCTTAAAAGAAAATGTATAATTAATGGCCTGAAACGTTGCCTATTATATATTGAGGGTTCTTTTTGTGTTAACTGTGTTTTGTGCAGCACTGTCAATACAGCATCACCAAAAATTAGTACAACCTTATATAGGCTGACATGCAATTATGTTTAGCGTATAACATGTGTTTAAAGTTTGTTTAATAGTAACTCTATTGCCCACCCCCCTGAATGTTTGCGTTGCACTCAATGAATCAGTCACGCTAGAGGGTTGAGTCCTGTCGGCTCAATGGGTTTGTGAGTTTTCCTTTCACTGGTCGTTTTTACCAAATCGTCACGCTAAAATGAAGTTCATATGAAAAGCAATTTTAATACTGTGCAGTAGTTCGGAGTTAAATAGCTTCTGAATGCAGCTGCATCGCAATATCCATACATCAACAGTGCTTTAAGTCACCCACACACCCACTGCCATCTTAAATCGAAAATTTGACACAGCTTTGAGTGATTTTAATGACAGCACCAATAAGTTATGTTTCGGCCACAAGAGACAACGTTTTTTTAAAGTTATTTAAATTCCAGGCTAGTTAATAGTTGGCTGAGACTATGGTTGGGTGTATTTAATGACACCAATACGTTGCTTTCCAACACTCAGCAACGGAGAGTTGTTTTCTATGGCAACGTCGCCCTCTGGTGGTTGATTGGTATCATTATAGGTCATGTGTGAAGAAAAAGGTTTGCCAATTGTCTTGATGCCTCTCTTACCCAAAGATACTAGGAACAGATAATCCTAGTGGTAACAGGTTTAGCAATACATGTTGATCGCGTTTCTATTGCAAATCATTACTTTACACTCAGTAGACTTCTCACCTGGTTATTAACAATGCTGCACTGGCAATTATTTATCAACATAAGCTTCACTGAGTCTCAAGCATCTTTCGAGAGGATTCTGCATTTGGATGTTTGGTCTGTTCCATTCATGAGTTCGGCTTCATGTGGGCTAAACACCCAGCACTGTCATCACCTGGACACCTAAAACTCCCCACAATCACTGGTGGTTGGTGGTGGTGGTGGTTACCCATCCTCGGACTAACCAGGCTCAATTTCCTGCTTAACTTGAGATCTTACAAGAAGGGGTGGCATATTCAGGGTGAATTGTTCCGTCATTCATAAAGGACTACACTGAAACTGTTCGTATCAGTGGTCTGTGTGATGGTTTGTAGCAAGGCCGTAGCCATGGATTCAACATTGGGGGGAGGTCCAAATCTTTCAGGGGATCTGGGGGTTCCCCCCCCCCCCCCAGAAAAAAAATCTAAATTTGAAAACTAATTTCCTGCCATTTCCTGCCTAAACTATAAAAAAAATCACTAACACATCGGATGGACTTTTATTTATTTTGTACAATGATGTTTAATTGTGTAATTGTGTATTGTATTTATTACATGGCTCTGCTTATTATTTTTTACCTTTTACATTGTATGTAATGGCATAGATTAGGGATTAATAAAGTACAACCATAACCACAATCATATAAACAGAAATCTGTTTTATAGAAATTTGGGGGGGGACATTATGAGCATATTTGAATATTGGGGGGGATGTGTCCCTCCCCCCAATTTATATTATAATTACGGCCTTGGTTTGTAGTCTTGTCGATCGCGTAATAAAAGTTCAACTAAAATCAGGTCTCCCAACAGCAACGTTTAAGTTAATACAAATTAATTTATTTGGTTATTTTGCTAAAGTCACGTAGATAGAAAATTAATAGATCACGACGTTTCGATCGCAACACAAGCAACCGTCATCAGGTGAGACAACCACAGCGGGAGAACTGCTGACGCCGGATGAGCCCTGAAGAGTAAGAAAATGTAATCTTCATCATGGGACCTCCTTTGCCAGTTCCAAAATATGGGAATAAGTTTTCCACTTTTTTCTGGCAACAAAGCAGCTTCGGCGTCGTG